CGGCGCTCGAGTGGGGGGACCCCCCGGCGAGACTCCGCGCGTGCGCACAGAACACCCCGCATGCGCACAGAACACCCTGCATGCGCACAGAAGACCGCTCGAGTGGGGGGTCGCCAGGCGATACTCCGTGCATACGCACGCACACCGTCCATGCGCACAGAACACCGCGGGCAGTCTCAATTTGACGAAATACGATAATTGCGAAAATTCTTAATCTAATAAATAATTCTCTTTAAAAAAAAAAACAGTGCAATCACGTAAAATCCAATAGTCAGTGAAAAAAAATTGATTGAAGAGAATTTAGCGTGTGGATTTTGGTCTTGACCATCAAAAACACTTCGATGGGATCTCTGAAACGGGAATGGGAGTATCAGATACATTGAATTACGTTCTGTTTTCTAATCCCGTCAGCTCGAGTGCCGGTTCGTTTGCGAAAACTGCTGCATCAGCTGCAAGTCGCTGTTATTTTTTAATAAAAAATAAGAGGAATCAATTTATTTCTTGTTATTGCCTGATTTTTGGAGACTGGGTAATGCTTGACAATACCTGCTTGTATCATACCTTACATACCTGTAGACTCGAAACCGACACCTTTCGGGGAACTCTACAGACACCAAACAATAACAAGAAGAATTGAAAAGTTGTTATGCTCTACGTTATGCTGGTGGAAATCTTCGACAGTCGTTGGATAATGAATCCAGAGGTGTTTTCCTGAATATATTATGGACCTGTCATCCCAGAAACGTGCGAGAATCTGTAAACGAAAGAGGTTAGCCAAGAACAGAAAACGAAATCAGAGAAAAGTTGAGGTTAGGAGTGCAAAACGTAGAAAGACTGTTTCTAGCAACGTTTCATGCCTTTCAACTGACGAAATAAATTTTCCCCCAATGTACGCCGAAAGTTTCTGGGAAAATTATAAGCAAGCTCAGGATTGGCAGCAGAAGTAAATAAAATTAGTATTACATTCCCTGTTGATTTTCTTCCCAATTCCTCTATTCACTTTTCAATATTGCAGACACAATGTCGCCTGGTGGAAGTCACGTTGTATTGCTCTCGAGCACGAGAATCGAATCTTGAGGAGCAAACTGCGAGAACTAGTTCAGCATTCCAATTACAGCGAGGCACATCCGACACCTTCCAATTCCCATTACAATCCCCTGAATAATTCATCGGAAGAGGCCAACCTGGAGTTTCATGTCGATGAGGACATGCTCAGTTTTCTGGAGAAGAGTATCCGGCATAAAATGGAGTTGAAAAAGAATCGGGATGCTGAAAAACTTGAATCCAGAGAAATTAATGAAAATCATAATCATCCAGGTATTAGAGAGATTCAGGATCACGAGAAGATGGAGAATGCCAAAGAATTGTATGGAACTGCAGCTGCAAAAATAATAGCCATGGAAACAGCTCTCCAAATGGCTGTCGACCGATACAGAGATCAAACCAAACCCCAATATTGGCCCAACATTCCCTTAAATCCCTAAATCCACCGTGAGATGTAGATTTTTCAATAAATTTGTATTATTTATTCGTGTAGGTGATGAATAAAGAACGAGGCGATCGTCATTGAAATCCATTGTTTGCTTTAATCAACTTAGAAAAAAAAATCAATTGGTTCACAAGCGATAATTGGTGAGTTGGAAATCCAATGAATTCTCTCAATTATTCATAATTGCTGGCATGATTTCCGCTACAAGGTACAGCGATTTTTATTTTTCCTGTATGTCACAGTGACGTGGCGTTATCTACAAACATAATTGACCGATTTATTTAGATTGCTCATTATTTGGGACAATGTTGAGATTCTACGCAAGTGCCTGTCTTTTCATTTCTCAAAAACGGTCTCTGGCATCGACATTCCAGTTTACATCCCTGGAAAATGCAATGTCAAATTAAAAAATAATTGTAATCGTACAAAGTAGAATAAAATTAAACACTGCACCTCTGGATTTATTTTGCACAAACGGATATCGGGATTACCGCATTTAGCTTCACAGAGACTTCCACACGGCTCTAATTTGGCGTGGGGCTCGCAGTCATTTGCTCCAGTGACTGGAAAACAAAGATATCATTACTGTACCGAGATTTTATTCAACTGAGAGGTAAATTGGATTGATAGTATGGAATACGTACCAGTAGTGAGAAAGGCAATAGCCAAACACATTGTGAAAAAGGCGATCATGCTTGGAACAAATAATAAATGTAATTGAGTAATTATAAATACCCAACAGCGAAATTTCCTATATGTAGAGCTCGTACCATCGGCTCAAGGCGAGTAACAAAAAGAGAATGAATTGAGGAAAAATCCACGCGCCAATTTACGCGGCTTATCTCGTGACAAAGAAATAATCAATTTACAAGGACTTCCACTACCATCAAGAGCTGAATTAACGATTTAAAGAATTGCTGCCACACTATCCCGATACTGCCTACCAAAGCCACAACCGAGAAAACAAGCAAGACCACTTGGTTGAATCTTAAAGATGATATACGAGTCTCGGCTGAGATCTCAGAATGTCTGAGAAAGTCGGTCGTGTGAAAAAAAAAATTGAAAGCTATACGGAAAATAAAAACAAATAGTGAGGAGAAAAATAAGGCTCTTGGAGATGCTGTGGCATAAGGCATTGGAATGGAAACAAGATGCGATGTTGGCAAAAGAGAGAACGTTGCTTGAGAATCGAATAAAAAATAGAGGAGGTGAGAGACACCGGGCGCGATTTGTTTTGAACAAGACGTCAGAGGGAAATGTTTGGGGTAAAGAAAGGGGATGAAGGTTAGAACGTAACAATTTTTCAAATGGTTTGAGGGATGACGGGGGTGTGCGGTTTGCTCCGAGCATGAATAGACTATAAAACGGTGGGAAGACAAGGGCCATTATACTGGCACGTAAAGTCGAGTCAGCCCAAACTCAAGTGTTCGTCTCAACCCCGTTGTGTTGTCCCCTTTTTTTTCTCAACTTTGGGTATCCACTCCACTTCCTCATTCAAAGTGTAAAAGCTCTCTTTCCAATTTTTCCATTCTGCTGTATTCCTTTGTTTGCCGCTCCAAGTTTTATTTATTTTCAATCTTGGCGTTGGAGTTGTCAAAGGGGAAAAAGGCCTATTCAGGTGGCAAAGTTTTCTAATTAGGGATAGGGTTGTTTTCCTCATCTCGTGGTTCAACAATGAAAATTACGTTGGGGTTTATGTATATTTGGCGATGCTTCATTTGTGACAATGAATGGCTGTGGGGGAATGATTAAAAGTCTGTTTTTTGGGGGGATTTTTCGTCGGTGGTTATTACTTTGTCACGTAGAGTCGTGTCAGCCGGAAGATCTTGAGGCCTTCCTTCCTCTTTTTACTGAGAATACAAGTTCTCCTCTCATTTTACTTCTATCACCACTTGACTCGGCACCCATGACACATTTTTCGTCTTTCTCGTCCGGCTTTTTCCCCTTGTCAATGTCTCGGTGATATCAAATTCAAGGTGATTTCATTTTAACTCATAATATTCTTCATTACTCTTTTGGGATCCGGTCCGAAGTAAATCTCCCATTAATAATGGATTCTTGTAATTATTATGTGGAAATACCAGAATATAAAACGCCCGAACGGAGAATGAATGTGAATGACAATTGTCAAGTTCCTGGAGCTTATAATTCGCTGAGTGAATTTTTGTCTCATGCATTATTCTGGATTTTCTTGAGTCCTGAGATGTAAAGTACTTGGGGATTCAGCGGAATTCGTGATGCTTAAAAACTTTGGATTCATTCGGTTAGATCAACTAGTTGTTGAAATTTTATTAAGAATTTTCGCTATCTTGAGAAAGTACTGTTGAAATTGGAATGATAAGTCGACAATGCGGAGAATAAAGTATGAGTTGGGATAAAGAAATAGCCCGGATGCAGGAGCACACGCGATAAACCCCAGTTGATAGTATTTTTCTCCAAGTTTTCGTGTGTCTTGTTCATTAATCCACCGAGCTGGAAGTTGGATCATCTTTCATTGAAGCTCAACTGCACTCAACCTCCATTTACCCTGCGTACTGTAACCGGCAAGGCACTTTATGACAGCTCGTTAGAAAGTTTCGATCAATTAAATCGTGTGTGACCTATTTTGATGGAGTACATGTTAACCCGTGGCATATCAATTCATTAAACTGTAGATAATTGGATTTTGTGTAATGGAAAATGTTCTAGACTGCGGGGGAAAAAAAATGAAATTATTTAATTAATGGAAGTGGTGGGAAACCAAAACAGATGTCTTATTTTTCAATTTGAGGAGAAAAATGGAAAGGCAAATTAATTCTGGAAAATCATTTTTAACGGTCTACGTATGCATAAATGTATTGTTGCTTTCTGAATAAATATGAGGGTGTGAATGCCGAAGAGATTTGTATCTATATCGCCTTGGTAGTTTGGTGCTGTCGATTTTTCAGCGAAATCGAGCGAATGGAGACTTGATGACGTGGAAATGGTGCATTAATACCCATAGCTAGACGGCTTTTAGTAAACTCCGGCGGTGGGAATATCGTCGAGTGAACAATGAACCAGAAGCCAGTCTCCATCCTCTCTCCCGTTGGCTACTGTGGCAAATATTTGCCGGTTCCACTGGCAATCCTGCGTGATTGCCCCTGGGCGAGGTAATTAGGACTTTTCACCAGTTTGCGTCCCTTGGACTATAGTTCTGATACTATCCCCACCCTTCCTCTCAAATTCCCATTCAAAGAAAATAATAACATACGTGGCTATTCACTCCACTTCACCAGGAATTACCCCCTCTGGAATTCATTTTGGTCCGACACTTTTATTTTTTCCTCAAAGAATTTTATGGATGAAAAAATTACCCTATAGAACATTTACTCGCGGAAAATTTCCGGAAAATTTCCCGTAGAAATCATGTCCTCTGAAAATTATTCCACCTGAATGTTTGCCCGCGGCAAATTTCCCACGAAAATTTTTTGAGGAGAAAATTTATTTTCAGGCATTCGCTGGTCTTAATTGTTTGTAATCAAATTTTACACAATAAAATCCATTACAAAAATAATAGATATAATTTTTAATGTTTATCTTCGTGGTTCATTCCCGTGATTTATCATTTGGTAATTCGATGAATAATGATAATTAATTCGAGACTACTATAAATATTTAAATTTTATTTAGTAGATTATCTGTATCATAATGTTCTGTCCAAAGAATTGATCTTTAATTGGACAAAATGATGTGTTCAATAAAAAAATTAATTGTAAGTGAATTCAGTGACATTTCTAGTGGAGAAGCTGTAAACTCGTCAGATCGAGTATTAAATTTCTCCCGACCGAGAAAAATATTATTTCTCTCAAATGAAATATCGAGGAGGAGAAACATGATTTACACGTTCTTTCATTTATTTTCAAAGCTGCAGGAGCGAAAATGCTGAATAGGTAGGATTTATAAACGATAGGAAAAAAGCCGAGGGAGGATCGTTTATACTTGGTTACGGAGCCCTAGGCTACAGTTTCACTGTGAATTAACGGTTCCGGGGATGCTTCATAAACTACTGTGCATCTACGTCATCCGATGATCCTTCGTCCTGCTTCCTTGATTCTCCTGCACATTCTGCTCTGGACTCGGTGATTTAATTATTCCGTTCTCGCACGTCTTCTTCACTACCAACCACGTAACAAGATTCTAGTCACACTGATTTTCCTGACTTCCAAAGGGACTCAGGACTCCAGCGAGTTTACCCATGAGTATGAACTACATCTAGCAGACCTTGACAATTAACAATTCACCACGTGGATATTCGAGATTTCAATAAAAAAAAATGGACATTGGAATTACTCACGTCATAATTTACAGATGCCACCAAATAAAATACTCCCTGTAAATCGTTGCTCTACATCCAATGATCCGGGTGTTTACCCTAGGACATATATTTCCCTATCTGTCCTCGAGCTATCTGAAGACCTAGAGGGCATCCCCTATATATCCTCCAGGGAGTGAGTCTCCTGTTACTGTGAAAGGCGTAGGGTAATCGAATCGATTTAGAGGAAAAGGCACGCCAGTATTTTTCTCCCTCTTTTATTCTCCTGTGAATATACATAGATAAAAAATTCCCGAGTTCCCAAAACACAGGAGACAAGAGAATGGGTAAAGACTGTACGAACTTAATAACTGTCAGAGGGTACAATTGAATTTGGAGGAAAAACTCTCGTGTTATGGTTCAGGGCTTTCATTACTGTCGCGTCGAAAATTGAATTCAATTACGTGAGAATTTTTTTTACTTTTACTCGATTCCTTTATTTCGTCGTGTGAATTTTTTTTTAAAGTATCTGTAGACAGAAAGTAATTATCATTTACAGAATTTAAGTTATCTCGAGTAAGAAAAAAATTGTGGTATTTTCCAACAGAAAAATTTCCAAACACTTACCAAGATATAAAAAAAAGAAATTCTCAAGAATTTCTTGACTATTTTCGGGAAAAATTTCCAACAATCTTGCTGTGTCACAAAAATCTTTTTCCAAGAGTTTTTCAAACACTTTCCAACCATCTTCGAAATAAAAAATATCCTCGAAAAAGAATTTTTTTACCCGTGAAATTAGCGTGGGAATTAATTAAAAGTCGAGGGGAGTAATAAGTTTGGAAAATTAAACTATGAAAACCTTTTGTTACAGAAATTTAATCCAGCTGGTAACTTTAGCAATGGGTGTACGTGGGAAACCTTTCAATGGCTTTTCCAGTGCTTAACAACGGCTGTCAAACAACTTCTGGACTTGTATGCATTTCGATATGGAAGTTGAGTTGTAATACAGAGAGTGATGGTAAGAACCATGAAAAATCCAGAAGGCGGATTGTGATGCAGATATTTCTTGGGATGATATAAAATCGTGGGCACAAGCGTCTGCGTACTGTGTTCTAACGTTTTGGGGTGTCCCAGGCGGGAGCTTTCGTCTCGGGAGCTTTCGTGTTAGGCAGAGTGTGGAGAGCATTCGGTGTGTTTCAATAGTACGCGTACCGCAATCACTCGACGCGGATCTTTCTGCGGGACATTCAATTAAATTAATCTTCCATTGCCATAACATCAAATCACTGTATCACTCAATTAAAATCACATTGAATCACCCCCCGAATCATCCAAAATCAAATATTCCGCGAAATTCCACTAAATCGGCAATCCGTGTCATGATATTTCACAACGAATAATTCCTCGGTAATAATTACATCAAATTATTCCCGAGAATATGGACAAGCTAAAAATTAATTTACAGATGGCAAAGTGCAAGCGAAAAATTTTCCCATTTTAAAAGGAAGAATGATCCATTCTGATCAATTATTCAAACGATACCATTATATTCCGCTGATTTTGAAGAGTGAAAAAGTTTTCTCCATGGAGCACTGTTATTTCAAGTTTTCAATTGAGTGGGTGAAAGAAAAATGAATGCTGTTGTTCGACTGGTAATTAATGGTATTATGTAGGTCGGGGATTATCAAGTGCTGAGTAAATAATTGCCGCATCAGTCGGTCGGTCAAGCACGTGGTGATTTTTATTGCCATTCACCACTGTTTGTTTCGAGTAAAAAATAAAGAAAACAGATCGAAGAGAAAACAAACAGTGATTATTCATGCGGAAATTCTTTCAATAACATCGAATTCCATGGGGATAATCTAGGGAAATTCTAGTATTCTCGAACTTTGTGTGGCCCATTGAAGAATCATGATGTCCAGCCAGAAGAGCCCGTCCGTCATTCCCTTTGTTTATCCAGAATCCATTGAATTGATCCTCAGTGTCTCCGAGTCAATGGTCAGAGGGACTCAGCAAAATTCCTGGGATGCGTAACGAGGTAATGATAAAATTTAATTCATCTCGAAATCCATGAAAAGTCGTTAAAATTTAAGATGAAATTTTAAGAGCACTCGGGATTTTCATTCTCTCCAATCAAATTCCGTGAAGTTCATTCGATCGAGTGGAGGATCATGACGAAAGTTTCCGGTAGTATGAATAGAAGAACAGGATTACTCCGTTCCCTTCGTTCAGGCCTTTGATTGCAGCCGCAGAGAATCGTATTTCCGTTCATATATTTCACGGGTGTTTCCAGACGGATTCCCCCGGTTGCACGAAGATTCCGCAAATATTTTTTTTTTTAAAAAAAGGGGAACGAAGAGGTGAGAAAAATCCGAGCGACTGCCTCAACAAATGTTCACCTCTCGCCCTAGGATAGGATTTTTTCCAGTCGTATCTCGGAAATAACTATTTAATAGGTATTAAATTTCCACTCTAAGGTGGATGTCGAGGGTATTCTCCGCTGAAGTGTCAGAGTAATTACTCCTTAAGGATTTCATCAAAGGAGAAATGCAGTGTGAGATATGTGAAAGGTAGAACGAATGTGAGGTCTTGACGCCTCGAGGCTCGTGGTGGTTTCTTCACTCGTTGATATTTGGCTGTGACAGAAGCCCGTAAAATCCCCGAGGATATATATTTGATAGTTAATGAAAAGAATTTCATGAATAGGAGAGCAACTCATCTCTCGTCAGGCATTAATTCTCGAAAAACCATTGTCATGTGATTAATCAGTGCATGCGAGAATGAGGGTAAATAATGACTGGCCACCGGACAATCCAATGCGGTGGACAAAGCCGTTTTGTGCAGGATAATTACATACATAGAAATTATAATTTGCATGTATAGAGGGCATAACGTCGATGTGGAAATGCCACTTGATGTTATCAATGATTCAGCAAATTTTGTATGTTCAAGTCGATCGAGGATAGGTGTCAAATCGATATGAAATGAAAATTTAATGCCACCCCAAACTTTGCCACCCACTTTCCAATGCCAGTCTCACGTGTATTTCGTACCCCTAAGGGGTTGAAGGTTCCAGGATATTTGCGGGATGGTGTTGCATGAAAACCGCTCATTTATTTTCACGTTACGATGACATGAAACTGATGTAACCCAGTTGTATTTTACCCCTATTTCTCACATATTTTTACTTTTTATTTTATGACTCATATATTTCGGTTTATTTCTCTCGTTAGAGTTACACATTTCGACGCTTTTATCGTCAACTGAAATGGGGTGGGTATTCTCTGCAGACGTGATCGCCATTCTCAATTTGTTGGAAACTTGTAATTCTGGGGATTTAATTTTGCAAAATTTTATTCAATTCTCGGTGAGACAACCGGGGGCTTTAGTTATTTATCACGAGTCGGAGGGAGTTACGAATTATCTGTGCAAATACATGGAGATGGAGAAATATTTATTCAGAGGAGAAGTCTGGGGGAAAAATAAATAGAATAGATGAAGATACATGATTGTCAAGGCTCTTGAGGATGAATTGCTCGAGATATAAAACATCGAGATTCGGTGATTTATCGGTTGAAATGCGTGGGGCATATGGGCTAGGTCTATTCTGTTGTATCCGTCTACAAGCCGGAAATTAAGTAGCCTGATGCCGTTGGGATCCTTCATCATCTTGAGATGCAGGCCTCACTATATCAGGGATGAGAGCTATAACTCTCCTGATACTCAGCCTTTTCCCTCCAGTTTGGTATGCGCTGTCGGTTCGATGTAAAGGTCAATGAGCATTCTCATCCGTTTGTCCATCATTCCTCAGACCATTGTTATTTCAAATATTTCGACAATTAAGTGAAAAAAAAAATCCCAAATATCTGGCATTGCAAAATATTTCTTCGAGGAAAAATCGAGGGTCTGACCAATAGTCTGGAAATAAATCTGATGGCCCCTGTGGAATTTTCTAGGTAAAACAGCTGTTGTTTTATTTACACTGAGATTCACTGCTTTCTGTCAAAGTTTCTCTAGTGGAGAATAAAATCTGATAGTTACCATCTCGAAGGGAATCCTCTGCTACATGGAAGCCTGACTGTATTGAACTTTTACTACTTCGCTGAGAATTATATTGTCCCCATGGAGCCGTGTAACCGATCGGGGGAAAAATGATCTTTCGTTCGTGAACAAAGTTGAACGTTTTTCTTCTTGCACCTGTCACCATCAATCTGTCATGTCCGGGCCAGATGAGGCGCGAATAAAAGAAAAATTGTGATTTTTTTCCATTTCCTGCTAGTGCCAGAGGTTTATTGTCGGTGGAAAAAAAAAACACTATAATAAAAAAAATAAATAAAGTGGTAAAAGATTGATTGAAATGTTGCAGATGTACGAGGTGCAGTCTGCTGGCTGGTTGAGTCGTCGACCATCCGACGACTGATTATGTCGTCGGGTCACACCGGATATCGTCTTGCTAGTTTCCTCCTGTCATTTCCCACTGTGGCCCTACGTTCTCTCTCTCCATCACACTCTCTCCTACCTCTGATCATTATCCTCCAATTGGGGCTCGTTTGTGCTGATGATTATTCGATTAACTCAAAGCTCACGCGTCACAATGGAGCTGTCAGTGTCTTCAACGTCAAATGGAGAACAAGTGGAAGGCCATCTTCCTCCACGGAGACGAGTCACAACACAACAGAGGAAGTTACTCAGTCATACTGTGATTCAAAAGATTGTATAGCAAAGAATAATACCAATTACTTAAATGAGAGTGAGGATGATGAGACTCAGGCGGTGACAAGCTCGTCAATCACAGTAGAAACATCGGATGATCCAGCCGAGCCACAAGACCGGGGGATGAGCCAAGGAGAGGAGTTTGTAACAGCTGATGGGCAAGTAGAGGCCATTGAGGATCTTGTTAGTTTGAGTTCTGGCACTGTCACACCAAAAACGTGGGATAAGGTGGACGTGACGATTCTGGGGCTTTTCGAGTTGACACAGGGTAGTGAGGCAAGACCCGAGGGACCCAGCGAGCTACAAGCTGCCAAGTTTGCCATCGATCGGATCAACCAGATGGATATTGTGCCGAGATTTAGGATGGAATTGCTCCGTAATGATACCAGGGTGAGTCGTTATTTTTTTTTTTATATCAGTTTGTAACGAGAGATCCTGCGGGAAAAATAATTTCCACTTGCGTGACTCCTTTCATCATCATTTTTTATCGTCAACATGGGAAAATAGAGAATTTAACCCATTGCCAGGGCGCGAAGAAATAACATTTTCAGCTAAAATGTATGTCCTCATGTTGGCTTATGTCCTGGGTTAACTCACGCATTCACAAATATTTATATTTATTCATGACAGATCGTTATATTCGGCGTCATCTCGTTATTTATCATCGTGATACTGAGGGGAGAGAGATAAGGGAGTGTGTAGTGGGTGATGGAGGGACTGAGAAAGAGTTAATTCAACAAGTTGAGTTTCTTTTTTCTCCACCCTCTTTTTAACTTTTTTTTTATCTCTTCTCTATTTTTTCCTTCAACTTGCTCACGCGGTATATTTCCCTCTCCCTTGGCCTTTTCTTCTCTCTTTTTTTCTCGTCTTTTTTCTTTTCGTGTCTCATTAAATGCCAGCCCGGGGCGAACACGTGGAGCTTTATTCGTGTTTTCGACCCTCTCTCCAAGGAGCCTATAGGCTTCAAAAGATAACTTTAATTTAACCAATTTCCTCCAACGGCCCGTGAACAAACAATTCTGGGTGACGTACGATTTTTTTTTTCTGTGGGGATGGGAAAAGCCAGTTGTTTTTCCGGAGAAGATGTGAATTTCGCGTGGACAATCGCATATGGGAGCAGCCAATCAGTCGTGTTTGAATACACGTGCTGTGGCCCTGGACTTAGTTCTATTGCATAGCCACCTGTGCCAATAAAAAAATTTGATTTCTTTTGGGGGAGGAAAAATCAATAGCTTTTGCATAATCGATACTGTACAATTGAATTCCGATGTACCAAAAAATAGACAAGACTCGTGGGTTTGTCGAGAGAGAATGGACACACCGTGCATGAAAAATAGTTTCACCTTAATTGGAGAGGCAGAAAACAACTCTCGTTTGACTCATGGAATTGAAAAAAAAAGTAAATAAAAGAATTTAGTGAGTGCTGAGTTTTATTCTGTTTGCACAATCATCCAATTTCACCCCCAAAGACGTTAAGGGTTCTCACAACACGTCTGCAGAAATGGATTAACAAGAGAATAGAATGAGTAATGAATGGAGATGTAACCCCTAGGTCCAGTAATCTCTCTTACCCCCTTCAATTTCACTCGTGCCACTCCTTTAGAATTTGAAAACTATCCTGTGCAGACTAGTTATACTGAACTTTCTGACGATTAATTATATTCTCAAGTTTGATTACTGAATTCTTCAGAGCAATTAATTCCGTGAGATTGAAAAATTGGAAAATTCATCCAAGTGATTACATGTTCATTTAGGTAATTCACGAGACAAGACTAAATAGATGGTAAATGTGAAAAAAAAAGGAGTAGGGAGATGGAGGGAGATGAGGACACTGATGGAGGTGGGTCTTTGATCTTATTTGAGAGGGAAAAATGCCTCTCACCAGTCTTCAGCCGAACCGATATCAAAAAGGATGAAAGGATGGAGAAGAATGGGAGGGAAAAATGTAATTGTCAATAAGTTGCACGCGTTGTGCTGCAGGTGGAAGCAAGCAAGAGCTATACAAGGGGGTGAACAATCATTTGGTTGCTATGTGTGGATTATTGGGGCAGTTGGAGAGGTGCTCACAATGAAAAGGGGTTGGCATTAGCGTTGGAAACAACTGGTGTACATACACCATGTCCCTGGCTCACGTTTACAGGGACGAAGGTGCGGTTAGTCGTGGCTTATCCTAAGCTCCACCACCTTCGCCACCAAGATAGGCAAAAGCACCAATTTCAACCACCAATAGCTCCCCTCAACTCCCCCAACTTCCCCAACTCCCCCAACTCTTCCAACCAGCATCTTTCCCATTTAAATACAAATCGATGGCAATTGCACCAATATATTTCTACCCACTTCAATGTGGCTTCAAGAATTTCATGATATTTTGGTAGAAGTAACTAATGATCTTTCATTGAAGTAGGGAGGCCCAAGACTAAGCAAATTGGAAGGCACTCCTATCTCCACATGATCATTTTTGAAGCCCCATATACATGCAAAAAAGAATGGGACGTTGATTAAATTCTCGCCCATGATAGGATCCTATCAAGGGGATTGCACAAGACTCCGTGGATTTTTTTCCCCCTTGAATCGACCACTCTGATTTGATATTGAGCTCATGTGAAAAAAGGACTACTATTAAATAAAATTGATAAAAAAAAATCGTGTTAGTCTCTGATAAATCTATTGAATATATTGAGAGAAGCGAACAGTAAAAATTGGAGATTGGAGAATGGCCCTCTTTCCGGTGACTTTATCTATCGCCACAAGCGAATGTCAACTCTTTGGAAAGCTCCTCTCTACGTGGTTAACAATTTTTTAAGACAGTCATATCATCATAAAATTTAATGGTGAATCCCGCAAGTATTAAATCCAAGTGGCCTCATAAAATGAAAGCCCGGGAGTTATACCGAAGTTTTTATAATAACTTCATCTTTTATCCAATTCTCAGTAAAAGGGGAAAAAACTGTATCCTCCGACAAAGAAAATCGGTATACCACCCAGTGATGTATATTGAGTATATCTATACTCAATGCTGTTTATTAATCGTTTATAGCGGAATCGTAGTGACTCGGTCTATCGGCGAAAATTTCACGATATTGGTAACGATCGATCCCTTTGGCAGTACAATATCTGCGACTCACTATCAGGTTTAGTCTGACAAAGAGGCCGGGAGAGTGTTGAGATTGTGGAAGAGAAAAGAGCCCGAGTCCGGTTTTCCTCTTCTCTTGAGAAACGAGAGGCGAGATAGCTTTTATACGGAAAATCGACGTATCAAGTAGTTGCAGTTGTGCTGATAAGACTCAAGTGGGTATCCACCATTTATACATATTTCTGCCATTGGCCCATTACATACCTCCTGTACATACCACAGCACATTTAATTCTCCACTGGTATCGTTCATTTTATTATTCACTCATTCTCTAATTAATGCCACTCAAATCTATTTTCTATTACATATTCCGCTTTTTAAGCTGTACACCTCATTCAGCTCTTGGATCTCTCATCAAAACTTTTTATTTGACATAGCAAAATATTTTCTCTCTCGCAATCTACTGGTTATGTATATATTTTCAGAGCGAGGAAATTTGTGTGTACAGGGGATAGTGAAAAAATTCGTTCGATTGGAAGCAATATCTCGGCAAATCGTACGAATATATAGTCGACCTGATGAAGAAAATATGCAAATCACTACTCCGCAAATATGGGGAGAAAAAATTATTGCTCTCTATGATGGAAAATGCAAGTTCCATTATGATCAATGTATTTCAAACAATCTGCAAGCCTTTCGAATTTCATCAGCTCGCCTCTTCTCACGCCCGAGGCGTCACAGAAATTCCCTTTAACGCGGGAATGAAATGAATTAGGTCGACAAATTGGCAAACCAATTGGTTCTGCATCCAAAAGTTGTATACAACATTCAGGACGGGGTGGATAGCATCGCGTTGTGAGAATCAATGCCCGTAAAAAAAAAGGCGAGACCACTGAAAAGCTCAATAGAAGGAATTCACACTGGTGATCCATTTATATCTGACAAATTTGAAAATTGAGGTGTAGAAAAAAAAAGGTCCCAGCGCCGCCATTGGGAAACTGATTATTTCCCTCCTCTTGCTCCATTTTGTAATTACGAGACAGGATCATCCCTGGAAATATATGATAACTGATTTTCTGGACTTGGATTACACGAGGTAATCTCGTCTTTCAGTCACTGCATTCACATGAGAATATCGGATTAAATTTTTACTCACTTTTCAGCTTTCTTCCAAGAAAGCAGAAGCTTACAAATTCCCTTTTCTGTTGGCTTTAAAAAATTATTGTAATGCCAGGATCAAGAGGATGAAACGGAATATGTACGTGGGTTTGGGTGAAATTAGAGAACGCTGGGTAGTTTAATATCTTGCCCTTATTACTGAAGATCCATGAAAATCCAGGAAAAATTCTCAACCGGGTAAACACAGACTAAGTATTTTCCTTCGTCAACGGTATTGAAATGGAAGAAAGGAAAAATGATCTTCAAGTCCCTGGGGCCTTCTGTAATTTATGCATTGCATCGTCAGCTCCTCTGGGGCCACAAAATCTCGTCAAACCCCATCTCGAGCCGACGTTTACCCTCCGATTTCTGCCTCTAACAATCGGAGTGAATAGAATTCAACAATTTCTCAAGAACAAACACAGGAAATGCATCTCCATTTTGAAACTCAGAATGATAAAGACAAAGGTGGGAAAAATTAGACAACAAATTGAATATTTATTACACCACTACTGATCACAGAAAAAATATCACAATATCAATTATACTCGTCTTTATACCAGACCACAATTAAAGTAAAACTGAAATCGAGAAAGAACAATTATTAATAATATGAATAATTATTATTCCATCGTGTAACGAGAGATTTCCCCTCCGATAATATCAACGAGACAGATCAAAATAAAGAACCGAAATAAATAATAAAAAATCAATCTAAAATAATAGAATTCACCTCACAAAAGCCACTGTATCATCTGCTATGATAAACCCGATCAAAATAACTTGTGATAAAAATTTTTGTGACGAATTATCCGCGTGATTCAATATTCTCTGATTGATTGCCCCCTGTGATTAAATTCGTGATAATTAATCCCGTGATCAACTGTACCCGTCATAATTAGCGGTGAATAAAAAAATCGTGAAATGACCAAGAGTTGGTAAATGGAATGGAATTAATGAAAATTTCTGGATAAGTAACTGAATACCGATGAAACGAAGGATCAGTGGAAAAAGAGATATAAATACATGATGATGTGGCGAAGTAAATGTGGAAGATTTGAAACCGTTTGTGGGATACGTTCGTGAGATTCTCCGGCACGATCATTTCATATCTGGTGCTTTGAAAAAGCATCTCTCGCCTGGCATTTTTCATTCGTCACCCTCTTTGTGTCATCCTTGAATTGTATGTCGCAACTCCGAGTCCCTGCGGGGAATATCTCTTCTGCGAGTTTCAAATATAATTCCACTTAAATATTAATGCTTTATTCTATACAGTTCCGAATTTTTTTCATAAATTCTTTGTTCGTGAGCTGATACTCCAACAGTTTCATTCAAAAATTTGCCTTCCAAAATACACATTTTTTAGACAGACCACGAATTTTCAACTGCCACAGGTTCAAACGAAAAAAAAAACGGAATAACATTCCACTGACACGTCGCAATTTCCTGTTTTCCTCGCGACCCCCATATGTGAGATTTTTAATCTCATCCCTTACACGCATTTACCCCCGTACTGTACAATCGGGGGTGAATGCAAATTGATGTACTCAAAGGAAATGAGAATGATCAAAATGAAGGCTAACAAATGGAGGAATATTCAGAAATAACGGTTTTGGTAGCAAATGAAAATTTCAAAAGCGCTGACCATTCCATGGTCGATGCTACAATTGAATTCTCCGTGCAATCTAATTTCGGGTAATTTCGAAATATTGCAATCCATCTGCATAATGAGCTCGCAATCAGGAAAAATGTTGACCTTCGTTCATTGTTTCATTTAGAGAGAGGTAATCCGGTGATCTCTAATTGTCTGATCGACAAACTGAATTGGGTTTCTCTTACTTTTCAATTCAAGGACTTCACGGTTCACCTCTCAATTTAACCCAGAGGCAATGTGGAATCGATCGAAACATTGTGGTGTACGTTAATTGTGCAATCTTCGTATGAATTGACAAAGGCAGTGGCCAATTATCAATGGGTGTAGAATCGAGGGTATAAATTGTATGTGGAATGCGCGTCGTCCATTATTTTCTAAGATACATTAATGCTTAGATTAATGAGCCGTGTTATCAACTATTTTTGCTGTTTTCTGGGTTAAATTGATTGTCGCAATCATTGAGGGATGGTGGATAGCAGTTGAACTTCTGTAGAGTAGACAATTGCTTGGAAAGTTTATAATGTTCTCCCGCATTCTCGGGGTAAAAAGTTCAACAGAGGAAAACGCTGTTGAACTTCGGACCTTTCGCTCTTTCAAAACCTTATGTTTTTCTTGGTATAATTACTTTACGTTTTCTCTTTTGGAAAAGTGTGGAAAGTATGGGAATGTCCCTTCCTGCGACCACCGCGTGAAAAACAGGATGAAACAAAATTATAACTACCCTGGAATTTCAGTGAGTTGATGAAAAGAGTAGTGTCATGATCACAATCGTCAAACGCGTTGGGAAAACTCATCTCCACGGGTTCTTGTACTCTTTACCGTACCGCACCACTGACTAATGATCAATTATGAAAGATTCCGCGCTCATCTACCAGATACTTGAGCAAGTTTCCTCCTCCATCGTACTCTTTACAACACGTCAGATAGGAGGTTACAATTATATTTAATGAATGTCACTAATAATCAACTGTCTCATCTATTGAATTGGGTCTGACTAAAGATAGGGATTTTCACTCGCTCTCGTTCTCATTCTCGCTCTCGCTGAACGAAATAGAAAGTTGAAGAGTGGAAAGGTAATTGGTACACGTCCGGATTTAGAATGGGCCAATTAAAAAAAATTCGCAATTAAACAACGAATAGTGCGGACAAGCGTACCAAAACTTTCATTAAACACTTCAACTTTTTTTTTTCTACCTTTGTAATTGTAGCACTTTTACGCCCTTATGCCGCCCGGTCAACGGAGCGAATATTGTTTCAACGTGGAGTACAGAGAGACGGCAAACTTTCGATAATCCTCTCGCTAAGTTTCATCCTTTCCTCCTTGAAAGTAATGGATGAAAAGCAATGAGTGAGCAAAAAGAGAGAGTGAGAGAGAGGGAGAGAAAAAAAAAACGTAGTGGCACTGTGGCGGGAGCTTGATGCAATTCTCAAGTGGCTTTGCCAACTCTCAAGACCCGGGTGATATTAAAAGTGGCCCAAAGACTACAATTAGGTGGCTGGAGGCAGGTGAGGCGTAAAGAGTGAAAATGTCAAGTACGACGAGATTCTTTGGGGTTTCAGTGTGACCCAGGTGTTGGTGTGGATCGTTTTTTCCACGCTCTGTACACAGCCAAACCGGGCACGATAATGCCATTCTTACTGGGGACAGCCTGCTCTGAGGTCACTGAAACCCTAGCCAAAATTGTACCCTACTGGAATATCGTGCAGGTTTCCTTTGGCTCAACAGCACCAGCATTATCCGATCAGTCCGAATTTCCTCTCTTCATGAGGACCGTTGCACCAGATTCCAGTCATAACCCAGCGAGGATTGCGCTAATAAAACATTTTGGATGGGATACCGTCACGACTCTATCGCAAACTGGCGATATGTATTCTCTGGTAAGTTAACTAACATTAAAACTGTAATGTTCAATATGGAACCGAGTTATATACCAGTTTACCATGGAGTCTCTTGAGGCCTAGAGCATTGTCATCGAGTTAAGAGGTAGTTTAGCTGCCAAACTCGGTGATCAGAGTGGAGAGATGGTTTCTCTGATGGGGAGACTTGTTGCTTGAGGCCTGAAAGGAGGGTTTAACTATTTCTGGTGCTATCGTTAAACAGTTACTGCTGATAACTTCTCATTTTTCATGGGTTTCGTAAATACGTGGGAACCCACAGGACAGATTGACGGGATAAAAAAACAATAGTAAAATAATATTATAGTGAAAATTACAGGTCAAATAAAAAAATTAATCTTCACTGTGATTGATCCTTCAATCATTTCGATAAAACTAAGATTTATCTGTTAATTGAACTTCTTCCACTCGCAGGCTGTTAATGACCTCGTAACTGAATTAGAACAGGCCAATATCACCTGCACAGCCACCATAACATTCAGCGAGAATGACTACCGGGAACAGCTGACCACTCTCAAGGTAATATTACAGATATTGTCCTCGAAATCTGTCACCTCTAACGTGTGATTCGACATGACTGTTCGGCGACGCGCAATCTTGAATTCCCTCACGAAAAAGAACATGTCACTGCAAGAAATTCCACCCAACACACCACTACCTTCTAGTTGTCTTATTATTATATCTCCCTGGTTTCCAATATTTTTTCCACTAGCAGGTACATTTAAAATCAATTGCAATAATAAATCCAGATTAATCAAGATTCGTGCAAGGATTCAGGATTAATGAGCTCTAATAAAATATTTATAACCACAGGTTCGTGATACTCGGATCATCATCGGGAGTTTCTCACCGAAATTAGCACCTAAAGTATTTTGCGAGGTAAGTGCGGCAAAACTTGTCTATTTTCCTTTCCTCGTTCTTCACCTGTCGCTTTATATTTTGTCAGCGATTATTGAATAACGGGGAGGACGTGGAATTTAGGTCGAATTGGAGGGAGCAAGTGTGAAAGGCAAGGGAAGCTAGTAAAAAACAAGAAACGAATGAGAAAAGAAACTAAGACTCTAGAACCAATATCGACGTCTTCTCCAGCATCAACATATCACTCCTGGCTTACAACCTCCCCTTGAGCGTTTGGAAACATTTCGGTTGAGTGTACACACGTTACTCTGCAGTTAGATCTTTTTCAGGGGTTTCTCTTCACTAAGACCGTGAAACCCATTTTCGAAAGCTCGTATTTACTTGCATGTGTTGCTTTGCAGTATGTACCTCTCGCATGTAAACCCATCTTCTTTCGTTTAGTTTTTTTTTACCCTTCTCTTCCCTTTATTGCGCAATTACGGGTTTAAGTGGATGGAGGCAAAATATTAACGATTCTTTATTACTCAGAACAGTTTTCTTTTTTCAAAAATTCTACGGATAAAATTTCCCCATTAAAAACGTCTACAAAAGAAAACCCCAAAGGAAAAACAAATTAGCATGTATATAGCAATATTCATTTTGCAATAATTAAATTAATGATAAGGGTAATCATGATTATTATGTAGCAAGTCATTGAATTAACCGACAAAAAAATTTTCAAGGTAAATTTCGTGCGGGGAAATTTATTAGGGGAAATCATTTTTCCGGAAATCTTTCAATATATCCCCGATATATTTAATTCCATCGTATCTCATTTTCGATGTTTCATATTAAATATGAAGTTGAGAGTGAGTTTTTCGTTTTCTCATTGATTGTATCAGTCGGCCTGTAAATTTTTCTGCCTTGCGGAATAATGAACGTGAACGAAGTGACGCAACATCTGCCATATCCTCCGGTGAATAACATGAAATCAGGGCAATTGTATTTGAAGCCTCCGCCATAGCCCCAGGCAATTGGAAACGCGTCGGCTAAAAAAAAAGGGGGAGAAAAAATTCTTTATAATTTTTTTTTGTGCAATAACGAGGAAGTGTCGACGACTGGGTAATTAGCTAAGGGACCAGAAGGTGGGCGTAACGATGCTGCGATAAGCTGGGCACCATAACAAGCGCTGGGAATAATAAGGAAAATAATTGTTTTCCAAGTCACTAAAATGTACAGAGATTCTGGGATATTGGTTAATTCATGTATGGAAATTTAATGAGCTTGGATAATTAGAGCTACGAATACGAGTGGCTAGTAGATGTCATAATTTGGACAAAATTTAACTATGGCAATTCAGAATGTCTATTTCCACTGGTAAACATGAATTCGCCACTCCAGGAATCTCACTGTTTCAAAGAGGCATTTGAATTATACAGGTGCCAGCTTCTCTTCTCCCTTCAACTCTGATTACAAGAACAAATAGAAACTTTCATTTCTCAATGGTGCAGGCGTGGAAGCTTGGTATGTACGGTGGAGATTATGCCTGGATCCTTCCGGGTGAGACCATCGACCTTTCTGGAATGACTGGCGATTGGTGGCACACACAGGGGGATAACGATTGCTCATCATCTCAACTTACCCAGACCCTCGATGGTGTTATCATTGTCAAGAGTCATGGCACTGTTCTTCCAGAACAAACCAGCTCATCTGGCTTGGTGAATATAACTTCCATGTATCCTCTCTTACAATAGTTCTATCGCAATTAACTATGAAATTTTCATGAGCATTAGTATACAGGTAGATTTTAATACATAAATTGTTCGGTTCAATTTGTGAAAATCTGCATGGGCTAGAAATAATTAATTAGTACTGTCATTAGTTATTAATTTGACATCGTCAAATTTATTCGAAAGAGGAGAATTAAAGTTAATATAACATTTGCATAAGACAGCTATACAAAAAATAAGGCAAAAAAATCTTACCCGTTCACCCGTTAGCATGCCTGATGAGAAAAGAGGACTTAAGAACTCCTATTTTTTTGTACAAAGCATGTATTAATTTTAATATCATCGGACAATTTTTACGTGTCAAGCTCCAAAACAGGAGAATCGAATGGAGTTGATTACGTACTCTGAGCGGCTAAAGTGGCACTCAACAAGCATGGAATTGACGATGTTAATTCCACATTTAATCCAGGGTAGTGCAATATTAATGGGACGAGTGAAAGCTCCCCTGATGGCAAGTTGTCATTCGGAAATCTGAAATGTATGTGCGAGCATTTCGCAGCGGTAAACACAATGGATACAGCTTTGAGTCGTCTATAATAAATACCCGAGTAAAAGAACGATGGAAGAAAAATGGAATAAAATGCGGGAGAATGATTCCCACGGGTTACTGGCTTTTAGTGAACAGTTGGAAATATTTCTCGTAATATTTCGTGCATAGGGTGTTTGAGAACTGAAAGATTAGTCGATTCCACCGGATATCGAGCCAGAAACAGAGTAAAACCGCTGTTTTCAGAGTGATATGGATGTATTGTTAAATGCAAGAGCTTTTTCGTTGTATTGTTTCCGTTCTAAAGACGAGTTTGTCCATTTTTAACTGCAGAATAGACTCTGACCGATTAAAACGACCGAAAGATACAGCAGTCATCGCTTATTTTTTCTCTCTTCCTTTCTGCTTTAATTTTTTTCTTTTCACATTCTTTCATTAGCCCGCAATGTAAAATTACGAATGTAGACCATTAAATCCCGTGGTTTTCTCCCTTTTTTTATTTTTACAGTCATAAAACTGGATTTCACACCGTACTGGTAATTAAAGACGAAGCAAATTACCCAGAATTATTAACTGTGAACTATTTTCACCACATGCATTTATTTATTTGTCAGTGGTACATTTACTTTGTATATTTTCTGAAAATTCGTCTAGTCATCGAATGGATTATCTACACAATAACAATGCAAGATTAATTAAATAATCCAGTGCATTAAACCAAGTGTTGATATAAATTTTTATCTCGATATATTGTTGTTTATTTTTTACCCCTGAGATAGGATTTTCTAGGTGTGGTTGGTGATACAGAGAAAAAAGGACTGCCAAGTGTTTTGGTGATGCAATCGGGGAGGAAAGTAATAGATGGAGAGTGCTTTAAGATTAGAAATAGATGGTCGGGAATGTCCTCGAGGAAAAAGCTCGAGTATGAAATTATTAAAAGTAAACACTGAAAATGTATTGGAAAATAGGAGTCAGTAGTGGTTTTTAGGATTTGCAGTGGATTATTGAGGACTTCGGGTTGACAAGATGAAGTGACAACGGAGTAAATAGAAATATTTGATTTCAGACGAGCATTGAATTCGCCTCGGAGCTTGCAAAAAGAGGTGTAACACTTTCACGATTTGCCGGGCAAACGTATGACGCGGTTTGGGCGATGGCGATGGCATTGTCAACGGTGGAAACACTATTGCATCAACGTAACACGAGTATCACTGAGTATACACATTTGAGACGTGACATAGCGTATGACCTCCATGCTGAACTGAAGAATTTGAATTTTCTCGGTGTTTCGGTGAGTCAACCCCATCCCCCGGTGCACGTGCAACAGATAAATCCTTTTTGGAATGCATCCAAGGACGGATTTTAGCAATTCGCTTAGCGATTTTTAACGATGTTCGACACCCTTTCAACCTCAATTCATGTTTTTTATTACCCTACAAATTTATCGATGGAATTGATGTGAAAAAATATGATATATCTACGTTTTTTCATTATGTAATGGCAAGTTCGTAGTGATGCGTTTATTTTCATGCGTTTTTTGACAGTTTTGTGATTCTTTCTGAATGTTCAGAAAAAAATGCAGGAGATTGTTCACACCGGTTTGAAATTTCGTGAGTCATTAAAAATAAATGGTTAAATAAAATAGAAAGGTTGGATTTTTTCACGTCGATCCCATCGTGGCTTACCATAGAAGTGGAAAAAAAATGTGAATAATGGCCAAAAGGGTGTAGAACAGTCTTAAATCGATGGGAATGAATAATATCGTTTAATCGTCAGGGTCCGGTGTCTTTCGATGGTGCTGATCGCGTGGGGATAACCGCTTTTTATCAGATGCAGGGTAAGTACATGAGATTGACCGAGTAACAGATGTACTACGAATATATGATTGTTTTATCCGATAAAAACGAGAATTCCAATCGCACACAAATAGGTGAAGTTTCATTTACTAAATTTTACTCTCAGTGTGAATAAACAGAGAGTCGATGGAAGGTCAAGCTTTGGTCTCATTTACTCACTGAAGTAAGAGACCAGAAAATGGCCTCGAGGTATATTGAAAGCTCGATTCAGTAGGGTATATATGTATATTCGTTTGAAGATATTCAGAGGCATTCCACCGTAAAACTGATGGCTCGGTCTGGGTCTCCATCGTCTATCCTCCCCTGGCTACCCTCATTCGAGCCTCGTCAATTACATAAATTGATCAGTCGTGTGAGTTTCCCCTCCCATCCAAGGGTTTATTCAATCACAGCTCAAATTCCGTTACTTCCTACACGGACTACTATTGACAGATTGAGAGGGATCTAATTCCATTTATGTGATAAAACTGACGGATTTTATTATCCGGAGATACCGGGGAATTTATACTACTCAATTTCACGTGAGTTTACACGTCGGTATTATAATATCCTCAGGGCCTTGGCTATTTTACCGAGTTGACACTGCGTGGGGAATTGGAGACAGAGGGTCATGTGTGAAATATAACTCAACTCGTTTTACTGCCTGGAAACACGTGAATTCTGCAAATCAATGCACCTAATTTCTTAGAAAAATAATAAGACTAAATTCAATACCTCTACCAAAAAGGGTGAAATAAGACACTTGAAATTATTCATTTTTTTCTAAATTAATAGAGATCTTCACGAAATTAATATTATTTCGGAAAATTTGGTTTTTTCCTTGAAACCCATGGATGACTTCCGGTGCAATCCTGAGATGCGATAAAAAGCGGAAAAAAAATTACTTCCGCTCCGATCGAATCCGATTTCATAGAATGAAAAAAAAATGAAAAAGTTCAGTTTTTTTGAGATGTACCCCACGTGCGCTTTGATATCGCTCTAGTAATCAATGAAAAATCTTGGTCTTGATTCTTAAAAGTTCTTTGGTTAAATATCGATTGAACTATAACCGAGCCTCCGACTCCATCGACGTTATTGCATTTCCCTGAAACCACGTCAAGTGTCGACCCATCGCCCACCCAATTCTCCCCAATTGACCCATTCCATTTCAGAAACACCTACGTAGTGCCAGGTAGCCGTTGCTAGTTCCAGGTACTCTATTAGATGCCAATCACGCAGGGAGACCAACCGCTAGTTGGATACCATTGAAATTTGAATTTGCCCGAAAAATAAATAAAAAAAAGGTACGACATATGCGAGCGAATGTCGAATTTAAATAATGCCCCTAGGCACTCGTTCGCCAGGAATACTCTACTCTGGGAGGAGTACCAGTGCTCACAGTGAAAATTTTCATTCCACCAATTACATTTGCGCGTCAACATTAAAGAGGTTGCAATAATAAACAATTTCACTGCTCACTCTTACATTAAATAGCTAGCCCTGACGATTGTTCTGATGATGGTTTATATTGATGATAGGTCATGCAGTTAGAAGAGTAGCTATTTACACCCCGGAAGATGCTATATTGATGCTAGATTGTCCTGGATGCGCGAATGTCAGATGGCCAGGGGGTCATCCACCAGTGGCCCGACGTGTTTTCAGGTTTGAAATTACATCCTACTGGAAAATTCAATTTTTTCATCAACCAACATCTGATCTCACATGCATCCGCTCCATCGATAATAATCGAGTACACGAAATACTGCTAAATGTTGAAATGATTTTTTCCTCCAACCCGAAGTCGGACTTAATTGAATTGTAAACGATGAAGCAGCGAAAATAATTAGAACGGTGAACCCCCAAAAAAAAAGTAGATTTGGCTTTGCAATAGTTGATTGAAAAGCACTCACTGCGGCTGTCTAATTGATTGTTTTCATTAATGAAAAATTTAGGATACGAATGGTAACAATCGATCCAGCAGCATTTCTGGCGGTGGCCTGCCTCGCCAGTGTTGGAATGACCCTAGCCCTGTCATTTCTCGCATTCAATCTTCATTTCCGTCGACACAAGTAAGCAAAAGCAAAAAAAAAACTGTGAATTCCCCCGACTTTTTGTCAGCTAATATATGAACTGATTACTCACCCCAGGAGCATAAAACTCTCGAGTCCTCGTTTGAATAACATGGCTGCTGTTGGATGTGCTCTAGTTTACGGGGCTGTAATACTTCTCGGTCTGGATCATGCTACCCTTCCAAACAACTATTTCCCAACGATATGCACAGTAAAATACCGAATAAATATTCAATTACATCGTAAATCAATTTATAAATTGGTAATTGGCTGTTAACGTTTTATTAGGCACGAGTTTATCTGCTCTCGGCGGGATTTTCTCTCGCCTTCGGATCCATGTTCACCAAGACCTACAGGGTGCATCGGATTTTCACTAGAAGTCGAAGTGGCGTCGTTAAAAATAAGGTATTGAATTCTCATGACCTTTTGAGGAATGAAAAGAGGAATAAAAATCTCAAGCCAATTACGGATTGTTTCCAATTTCACTTTCGTACTTATAACACGTTGATTCGCTCAATGATTACAGTTACTCCAGGATACTCAACTGATTAGTTTGATTTTCGTTCTGCTGCTGATTGACGGACTAATTGTAACATTGTGGGTAACGCTGGATCCGATGGAGCGATATCTGCGGAATCTCACATTGGAGATAAGTCCACAGGATCGCGGAGTGGTGTATCAGCCCCAGGTATTCATGTAGTTTGGTTATTCAATGGGAAATTGTCATTCATCTGAACTCAAGGCCGATTGTGGTAACAGGTTGAAGTCTGTCGATCACAACACACTAATGGCTGGCTGGCATCCCTTTACGCTTACAAAGGCTTGCTGTTGGTTGTTGGGGTGTACATGGCATGGGAAACTAGGTGATATATTGAGAAATTAAAGGTATTTGTCAATCTCCTGTTGTCTGACGGTTGGAATTTGAATTTTATGATGCAGACACGTTAAAATCCCAGCGCTCAATGACTCCCAGTACATCGGTATGAGCGTCTACTCTGTGGTAATAACATCTGGAATAGTCGTTGTATTGGCTAATTTAATGTCCGATCGTGCCACCCTCGCATTCGTGACAATCACAGCACTTATACTGGCATCTACAACAGCAACACTGGCACTTCTATTTCTACCACAGCTTGCGCATATACTCGGGGGTGAACGAGCTGATCCGGTTGTTCAGAGTCTAGGGCTCAAGATTGAGTGCAACACAAGGAGATTCGTTCACGATGATCGCAGGTATTAATTATGCATTGGCCAAAATCAGACAATGCTGTTATCCATTTATATCCATCATGCTTGAAATAGAGAACTGCAGTACAGAGTCGAAGTACAGAATCGTGTTTACCGTCGTGAGATGGCACAGTTGGAGTTCGAATTAGCAAGGCTGGAGAAACAATTGGGCCAAGAGCCAATTGATCCTTCTCATGCATCATCCAGTGCATCAATTCCCCAGAGAAATCCAAGTATCGGTGGAGGATTGCCTTTGCTGTTGTTGAGTGTTTTACCACCTGTTATACCACGAGCGAGCTGGCCATCCGCCAATTCCTCTGGTGAGATTTTTTTTTTTCTCCCACTGTCATAACGTAAATCGCTGCTTTCCCATTTATACCAATTTTTTTTTTCATATTTTTTTTTCGAGTGATTTGCATTTTTCGTTATTTATCTCAATAGTTCAGCAGAATAAGATGATAAATTGTCACGTTCTTATTCTACTGAGCACTGGAAATTATGAAAATTAAATAAAACTCTATTATCGCTTCGTCCTTCTCCTATTATTCAGGTATTACGGGAAGGTGACACAATTCCGTCTATTTGCACGCCTGCAAGCATAATTCCCTCACGTTATATTAATTTGAATAATTATTTGGTTAATTGGTTTGCTTGGTCAATAGTCAGATACTAGATAGAGGATAAAGTAAGAATAATCAGAATAACAGTGTAAGTGCAATTTTGATGAAAAAAAATCATCAAATACTACTGGTCTGACTCCTCTCCTCCAGTTTATCCTATTTTTTTTATCTTTCGTAGAAAATACAATTTATCTATCAGACAACCGTTGATTTTGTACATATCCACCTGGTAGGTAATATTAGAATGCTGGAAGGCGTCACACTAACAAAAATAAAATAATAAAGAATTTTAAGCCTCATCCCTCATCCCGTTTGCTTTGAAGACAACAATAATTAATAGAGGAATTGATTAAAAAATTAGCAACGCCCGTAAGAATTTGGTAGAAATTTTGTATTGCGCAGAGAACAGAGAATGGAATTGAGTTGAAGCGAAAAATAATGATTCATAACGTTAGGAATGCGTCGAGGAACCGTAGCGTTTAGCAGTCAACCAGATTTGGAGCCGAATGGTGCCCGTAGCAGTTTGGCTGACATATACAAATTGCAATGGAGACGCGAAACGGAAGGACCGAGTCGCTTGGGGGTCTTCCAGCGTCTCTTCAGTCTCTTCGGCAGCCGTCCCAATAGTCGAAAAACTTCTACAGCTTCCATTACCGGTTCGTGAATATTTCATCCTCAGCACATTGAAGCTACTAGAGCTGTAGAGATTTGAGCAATGGATTTTTATCTCTAGGTGTTGCCTCAGCTCTCAGGGTTCACATGGGATACATAGCTGGACTGGTGCCGGGTACCAAAGCCTCCTCTACTTGTCAGATGAATCTACCCCAAGGCATGCGTCCGCCACATCCGAGATGCGGTTCCGGTCCCATAATCAACATAACTAGTGAAGAGGATAGGCGATTGAGTCTTGGATTGCGACGAAAAGAGAGCAGCGAGCCACGAGTCAACTTTAGTCTACCACTCAGTAAGATACTTGAAAATAAAATAAATAAATTTTCAACTGCTTCGTGGTTTTTACACTGGAATATTTGTGAAAATTGCAGAAACGCGCTCGGAAAATTCCTCTCGCGAGAGAATAAAAGGTTCACCCCGATTCCCTCATCGCATAATGCCGGCAAATAGCCTAGGAACAATTCCACTTGGAACCGATGAATCTATAGAGCACCGTTGGCATTCGATGGACGATGCATCACGCTCTAAAGTTACAAATGCATCACTCCGGAATACCACTGGCCCTTGCACACCGAATTACGATGTATGGGCCACACATCAAGTTGGAATTCCCTTGAGTGAATTAGCAAATACTATTCGAGGAAAACGCCAACCCGAAACCCGACAATCACTGATCATTCCAGCTGATTCCAACGCTAGCCCTGATGACATTCTACTTGGCAATGATCTCAGGCAGCTCTTCAAAGAGACCGGATCGTCATTGACACTAACTGAGGATAATAGTGCTGATGTCGAATTGCAGATTATTCAATCTATTAATTTACCCATCAATGACACCACGAGATCTCAGTCGACGCACTTCAATGCTGAAAGCGGAGATATAACTAGCCAACTTTCTCAACACACCGAGTCTTCAGGTAATAATAATGAACTGGAACTTCTCAATTCGGAAAATTCTGGTGAGCCGATCGATATTACGTAGAAACAGTCATGCTGTCAGTTGTTGTGCCAATAATGGAGAATGAAAAATCAAAACGGAAGGGATTGGCTTCACAATGCTCTAGGACTCTCCTGGGACCAAATATTTTCACAAATATGTGAAGATGAAAAAGGAATTATTTGGAATGGAATTCGAACTGACATTGTAGCTCAAACATGGCTGCATAATAATTATCTAATCGCATTGAATGCCCCCTAATTCCTGGTACCTGCTGAACAATTAAATCATTAAACTATTATTAATGTTTCAATAGTATATTGAGGTGAAGTGAAGTTCGAACGGGGATGTGATGGCCGATTGGCAATAAGCGGAAGTTGACTCGTATCAATGAATATTTGTATAATGATTCTCTTCTCCTTATTCCACTCAATATCATTTTGTTTTCATAATGAATAGAGTATATAGGCAGTATACAATAGAACGAAATACAAATATTTTTTCGTGTTGTGCAGGGGTGTACCACCAATGTTCTTTGGCAATAAGAGGCATCATTCTGTGTGTACAAATAGGTGTTGAAAAGAAATGAATCATGACGTTTAAATGTTCAACAATAATCAAGACGTATCAGTGCATTGTTAAGCATTGTTTGAGAAGGAATGTACGATGAAAATGTATGTAATTCATGTTCTTATTACCGTTCATGTTATCTCAAAGAAAATACGACTACAATGCTCATTTGTTATGATGTATTTTTATTCATGGATATCTTCATTTTCTGTATAATCATATCTTCTTTGTATGACAGTATCATATCACTATAAAAATCTTTCACGATATTTACAATTGTCACGTTTCTACAATGAAAAGATGTGTGATTTAGTTTGATACTTTTCATTTAATTTTTTTAGTGCTGAATATGTACAGCGGAATCTTTGGGAATTTTTTCAGTAATTTAGATTCACGTTCAAGTAGAGAAATAAAAAATGAAAAAAAAAAAGAAGAAATCAAAATTTGCTTCTAATCTCTTTTGCAATCATTCATGTTCTCCATCGTTTATCGTCTATCGGCTTGCAGCATTTTTTATCAATAAGTTCAATGTATAAAATCAAGAGAAAAGACGAATGAAAAATGTTCGTTATAATCGAGGACGTTATCCTCGAATCTAACTGAATCGTTGATTTCACTCAAGGCAAACTCGAAAAAATTAATCAAATTTACGTAATACTTTAGGATTATCAGGAAAGTAGCATAGATATCCTTGATAGAAAACTCCCATCGTGACTCTCATTATCACCATTATGTTCTATGTTAATTCTTTTCACCTCCGGCTTATCACTACCGTCGCTCTTTCTGTTATCGGTCTTGAGTGCATTCCTCGCCTCAGTCCGCGTATGATTTAGAAAAGCCATTCCATGAACTCTCAGATGTTTGTCAACAGCAGATTTATCCTCGAAAACTGCCATACAGACATAGCACTGGTTGGGCTCGGTTGTTCTTGCATCGTAAGAGCCACCAATGTCAGGCGCATAGAGAGAATTCTGGGCCAGATAAGACACTGTATCAATAATTCCGTGGAATGCTTTGAGATGCATCTGCAGACTGTTGGCAACGACAAAGTTCTCTCCGCACTCGAGGCAAACCAGGAAATGCCCCTTTATTCTGTGTCTGTCTGCAAAGTGTTCCCTCAATTTCTTTACATCTTCGAAGAGCTCCTCGCATTTCTTGCATTTGAAATTACCCTCGACCTGCTCGAGTTTCTCCTGAGTAACACAAATTCCAGATCGTGAATTGTCCTCTGATTTCGTCAAGCCACCTCTTCTCTTCCTTCTCGACGCACCTCGAGGTGAGCTCGGCTCCGATTTCCTCTTCTTGCATTCCACTTTCGTGTCAGACTCAGCAGAGGAAGTGATTTTTTCAAGCCTGGGGCTCACCTCGCACAACTTGTACTCACGAAAATGTTTGGTAGCAAAATGATGCTTGATCACTTCATACGCAGTCGTGATATTCTCATAACACAGATGGCATTTAAAGTTCAACGGTTGAGTGTTTGAGTCTTCTGAGCCATCAAGCGCTATTCTCCAAGGCTTATTAGGCTTTCCTTTGCGTTTCAAAACTTCGTCGGCATCCCTTATCAACTCCGAGGAATCTAAAATTTTCCCTTCACTCTCATCAACACTAGATTCGACAAGATCTTCAATTTCAAAATTAGCTCGGGGTTCATCGGGTATAATGCTGAAATTATCTTGAGACGCTTCGTTTGATTGTTTTAGATCAGTTAGCGGATTGTTTGACCAAGTAGGGTTAATCACGTGATCAAGTGTATTTAACACAGAACTCGTAGAATTAGTGGGGACGGAAATAGCTGAGTTTGATGTGTGAGACAAAATTTTCTTACCGTCCAATTGATTGCTGTTCTTATCGAATAAATTCATCTTGACCATGATTGGGCGGTGTTGAGGAGTAACGTTAGTCGTAACATAGTTCACGGGAATGCTAACAAATTTACCACCACGGAGTGTTTGTATCTTTAACGACTTCTGATTATTCAAGACATCAACGGTCTTATTGGCAGCTGCATTCGAGCTTTGACTGCTGAGAGGATCGGCAGCTTCATTAGCACCTGGATTCATACTCTGTACCTTGACAATTTTCGGTATCGTCACTCCCGATGACGCTTTTTGACTATCCGATAATTTACTCAGTTTAATAACCGTTGAAGAAACTATTTGTTGAGATTTCGTCTCATCATGCGATTCAAATGCAGTTTCCGCTATCGAACAGGAGTTTACGATTTTAGGGAGTACAATCTCCTTCCCCTTCGCCGTCGCTGATTTGGTCATTTCATTTTCTATTGTGAGATTGAAGTGACGTGCAAAAAAATTGAGAGTTTCCGGAGAAATAACCTCGCACAATCGTTCCCGGTGATTCATAAACACGTGATCCTGAATGATATTTTCATTACCGCTGACGTTTTTTATGAAGAATGCACAGAATGGACAGGTGTAATATTGAATTCTTCCGATCTCACGGTGATTCTCAAGATGAAGCATGAAATTTTGGGGGGAGACCAAGCATCCTCCGAAATCGCAGATGATTAATGCGTCAGGTTCCTGAGATCCACCGGTATGATCTTTGGAATAATGCAAGACGTGCTCGTAGTAAGAGGACGAGGCAGTGGGACATTCGGGACAAACAATTACCGATCTTGTATGGACCTCGTAATAGTGTCTGCTCAGTGCCTCCATTGTGAGAAAGCCCTCCATTTCACAGACTTTGCAAGCGAAAATCACCTGAGTGTTTAAATGAAAGCACTTCGTCCAAATGTGAATTTCCAAATTTTGCATATTACTGAAATGAGAAAAGCACTCGGGGCACGTGTACGGGGACTGATTGTTGTGAAATTTTAAATGCTCCTTAAACTGATTCTCACTTCCTTGTTTAGCCTTGCAGAGATGACAAATAAAATTGGCACATAGACAATAGTCCTCCTCTTGTACTGTGACCTTGGATATTCCCGGCAGGTATTCCTTGGGCTTTCTTTTCTTCTTGCACTCTAGACAGACAACGCAATTCTTCTGGTACTCCCAAGTGGTCAATTTATTCTTGAACTCTTGGTTTATTTTCATTTCGACTGCCAGCACTTTATCTTCTTCTGCTGTCTCCAGATAACCTGTCAGCGACTTTAATGTCGCTAGATTTCTTTTCAAAATGGCCGACGAATCGACACAACCTGACTTGGTAAATTCACTGCAGAATTCCGATACATTCTTAATTATCGTTTGAATCTTTTGCTTCGGATAAGTTAATAGTTTCTTTCGCATATCCAGACGATATTTCCTGAGGAGTATTTCCATACCCTTGGGTCCATTATCTAAACAGTGCAGATTGGCATTGTTCTCAAAATCGGAGGCCAGACAATTTCTGGGGAGATGAATCTTTCTATTCTTCAAAGCGGGTGAGAGTAATTGCGGTATCCTCGCTTGTTGGTAATTGGAAGGTGGATTCTGAGCACCCCCAGTATTATCAATCACCTTTCCCCTTACTTTACCCTCATTAGATGCTACGAAGTTGGCACTTGGAATTTGCCGGATTATGTATTTTCTACCATTTTGTATCACGAGTTTTCCACCACCAGAAATATTGCTCAAATTCTCGGGGGAATTTGAGACATGTAAGAGTACTGGGGCTGAAATACTAGGTGTCGCAACAGTTTTTCTCATACCTGATTTTCCTGCAATCGATGGTGGACACTTCTCGACGAGATGAGCTGTTCCTCGCTCGAGAGTTGAAGTAATACCACCTTTCTTAATCACTGCCTTTTTGCCAACCTGTTGTTGTTTACTTGATTGTCTTTCCCTTCGATTTAATCGTGGAACACTAATCTTCTTCTTGAGTGTATCGAGAGATGGTACTTGAGAGAATATTGCAGGTGGTGATTTGAGAAGAGAAATTTGTCCCACTGTAGTGGTTGCATTTGTTTTTGTTTGTACAGGCATATAGACTGAGGGCGTTGGGCCACAATCGACGAAAGTTATGTCCGTGGGGATGGGTGAATCTTCTCTAGGCATTGGAGTTCCATCACTGGAGTTATCAGAAGCCTCTTTCCATTCATCACACGAATCAATGAGATATTTCTTCATTAATTCACCGATGAGCGATGAATCAGATGGCTCTGACATCCACCACTTTCCCGTGTGGTTTCCAGCCCTGAGTATGTCCAGTACGTGCTTCTGCTTGACAAAGGCATACTCCATGAGGGCTTTGCAGGCATCGTGTAGATGTGCCCACTCTGTTTTCTCAACGTCCGAGGGCATTGGCATCAGCATGAGATAAGCCATGTCTACAGTATACACATCGTGAAGCTTGAGGTGTGCAAACAGTTGACACTGATTGTAGAATATTTTTACTGAACCCATCCTTTGACCTCGCTTGAGGCCTCGTCTATTCAAACGTGCACGATTCTTGTTCTCAATATTTTGACAGAGAAGACACATCGATCTGTCTTCCTTCGTGTGAGTGCAATTAACGCTGAAGCAGTGAATGCACCAGTAGCCCAGAACGAAGACCTTTCGGTTCTCATGCTCATCTAGACTCGATTTGAAACGATATCTGAAACATATATTCATCAGTGAGGGATAAAAATATTGAACAGAATCGTAATACAAACACTTACGAGTCATTGCAGTATTTACACGTGTGAAGTGAATGCTCAGGCTCATTCGGAATTCTCAATTCCTTTGGAATCTCTGGAGCTACGTATGGTTTTGGATCAATAGTGAAAACAATATCCTTTATTGCAGTGAAATATTGAGGGCCCCATCTGAGCTCATGTCTTCGATTTTTACGGAGTTTTGGGAGTTCTGACTTCTCGTTTGGTGTATTAGGCAGAGCCGTACTTTTACCACGACTGTTACCTCCAGGTTGCGACTGATCACTCGTGTACATTTTTTATGAGATTTGTAGCTAGGTTTCACCAAGATGGATCCATCGAATGATATGGAAAAAACTCTCGATATTATTCTTCATTCCTCTAGATTGAAGCTTTAATAGAAAACAATGAAGAGTCTGTTAGTACTGGGAAATGATCCCTCTAGTAGCATTGAATAGTATCAGAGCAATTACTTTTTTGGTATTGTTTGCTGTTGGCTGTTGGTTTGTTCCCAGCAGTCATTAATCATGATATATTATTGTCTTGAGGGTTATATGTATTTGTTGTTCTCACGGACATCCAGTGATGGAGAATAACCTCGAAGAGTTGATGAATTCCTCTTGTCCTTCAGAATTTGATGGAATTAAAGTTTTCTTGGCGTTGCTTATGACATGTATACAAATCGAACAATTATTGTATGCAATTTTCCATGTAGCGAGGCAGCGTTAAGCTGATGGTGGCCCTCTATCGTATATAAAATCATAGTAAATATGGCGACGGAGTTGAGTGAAATCAGTCGGTAAAAAGAGATCGAGTGTTCAACCATGTGGCGACATCATCAGGCAAAAATTCCGACTCCCCCTCAACCAGGGATACTTTTAAATTTTCAAAATTGCAGACAAATATTTTTTTGGATATCCCTGAAATAGAATTCCGTGAAGCTGTTTTATTTTTCATCAAGCGCTCCTAAATGGCCTCGATAATATTCGATAGGCTCAATTACATGGTGATAATGACATGGAAATAATTAGAAATACATGATAAGAGAGCGCAAGCTCGTAGCTTTTGAATCAATACGGCAATGGCCGACTGATGAAAACCAGTCAGGACTCGTCCATCGTAAAGCTCACATCATTTAATTTTTACTGTCAAATTAAAGCGAACATAAGGCCCAGGAAATAGGCGGAAATACCTCTGGCAGGGATATGAATTGACTCATCTGAGGCCAGATCAATCAACCCGAGAGTACTTGTCGCGTAATCCCAAAGTTTATTTCACTAGCAATTATTTTGGTAAAATAATTGAGTCTTCATAAGGAGCTCGAGGTAACTGACCGTGCGCAACGGTTCTTCTAAGGTCGTTGCTGCCTCCAGGATTTCATCTTCCATTGGACCCATCCAATTATTGAATTCACCAATTAACAAATCATTCATCCACTGTCATTACTAATAACGAGCTTAACGAGTGACTGTGACAAAAAAAAAAGTGAAGACGACTCAACATAGTTTGTCCTAGTATCCAAGCAATAGGATCTCTCTCTCCTCAAGTGGATCTCTCTCTTCATCGCACGGAGGGACCTTGAATAAGAATAACCCCGAGATACCCTAATTACATACTGAAGCAGTGATAATTGGAAGTTAAATCGGTGGCGCAGATTTCCAGAGCTGTAGAATCGTGCGAATTCGCGGACCCAATATTCATTAATTGATTATTTCACGAGAGTTGGAGAACTCCAACGATTGGGTCAATTAATACATCCCGTGCCCTTCGGCATCTCCAAAAACGTTTAGTGGGTAGTGATTGGTCGTTTCGTACTTTTTTTCCGAAACATCCCCAAAACGGCAACCCGTCGTCGTTGTTTACGTGCTGCGAGAGGTCGCAAGAGAATAGAGAAAAAAAATTTAACGTCAACGGTGACATGGAAGAAAAGTCATCGGCAAGATTTTCTGAGTATCTATTTGCTAAAATGGGAGGACACGATGTTTCAGCCTCACAGGGTCCTAGGAAGGTGACGGCGGATACTAGGAAATGGATGCGTGAAAATATGCTGCTTCTTGTTACATTAAGCGGAGTTCTACTCGGCGTTTTATTGGGTAAATTATTATTATTTATATTCTCCTCGGTACCTGTAATACCGTGGCAATTGCTTGAATTTATGAGACTATAAGAAGCTTCCATCAATCAATCACACATTTTTATGTTCTCATACTTTTATCCTATTATTACATGAACTTCACATTCAAGAAAGGGATAGAGTCATGGACGATCGATATCCAGCATGAAGTAAACATTTTGATCCGCTTTCTTATCATTATAGTCGTACCCATCGAGTACCACGACATTTCCATGAATTTCCACGATATTGAATTTATAGTCTCCAGGAATTTATACTCCTTTAACTATTTTTCATATTCATATCATATCGGTGATGGAATTTTAATCGCCGCGTTGATTGTCACGGGTAAAATTAATTTGGAACAAATTGGATAGTGATCGGGATGGTAGAAGGCTGGTATCTAAAAATAAGGAATTTAATTAGCGGAGTAATGCGAATTGTTTGAAAGTCTCGGTACCAGTCAACACCTAGGGCGCGTTGATTCACGCGATGAATGACGAGCATCTGCCGATGGTTAAACTTGCAGCCCCCGAATGACCCACTTTTTGAGAATCAGTTATGTAATATCATCTCGTTATAGAGAGGTGTCATTGTCGATGTGAGGCTTCAGAATTATCGAATTTATAGTTTTGTTATATTTAATGAGGGGCCCTCTCCCTCCTCCTCCTCTCACCCATGACGAAGAATTAAAATTGTTTATCTCTTTCAGGGTTTGGTTTGCGACCACTGGGACTCGGTGGCGATGCTGTTATGCTGATAAGCTACCCTGGGGAGTTGTTCATGAGACTGCTGAAATTGATGATTCTACCGCTTGTCATTGCCAGTTTAATTTCCGGTAACTAATGACAATAATTTTATTCACCGCGCGATAATGAGAAAATGTTGCAATGTTACTGAATTCTTCTCCCAGGATCGGCAAGTCTCAATGCAAAGATGAATGGAAAAATAGCTGTTAGAACTCTGGTTTATTTTATTCTGACCTCACTCTTCAACGCTATCTTGGGGGTTGCCCTCGCCCTGTTGATTCACCCTGGCAATTCTGGAATAAGGGAAGCCACTGCGTCATCCACACACACCCGTGCAGTTAACATTCTTGACAGCCTCTTAGACCTTGGAAGGTAATGATTTACAATAATTCCCGAACCGAGCCACCAAATGATTTCATGCAAATCTCTGTAATCTTGGATCATCCTTTACGATGAGCTTTCACGAAGAAATACTTATATTGGGACGAAAATAGATTGCTATTATCGATTAGTTATGTGTATACCTCGTCGTTTTGTTCACACTGGCTAATACATTCAAGTGCATCCCACTGCGCCAAACATACAGTCAAAGTCAGCCAATTCGAAGGAACGAGGGTTTATTCACTGAGCAAACCGTCTGACAATGATTGAGCACCCTTAATATCGCGAGTGTGCCAAAGTCCCAAGGTTGAACTTTAATGAAGTCATGTAAATACCTCATGCGCGAAAAAAAAAACGAGCAGCTTGATAGAATGAATGAGAACTAAAGGTCGATTAAAATGCTTTGTTCTAAAAGGTTTTGTGTTTCATTTCAGGAATATGTTTCCTGACAATTTATTCCAGGCAGCCTTCCAGCAGGCGCATACAGTATATGTACCTAAACAGCCTCCCCTTCAGAACGACAGTGACAAGCTCATAGATCCCAAGGATCTGCCTGAAGAGGAATTGATTAGAGTTATCCAGTACAGAAGTGGCACCAATACCTTGGGAATCGTTTTTTTCTGTCTTGTTTTTGGTACCTTCTTGGGTACACTTGGCGAGAAAAAGGGACAGATTGTTATCGAGTTTTTTAAGGCTGTTTTTGAAGTGATCATGAGGATGGTTTCTACTGTGATGTGGTGAGTTGGATTGATGGATATCAAGAGATTAGGGCGACGCAATGATGCAATCGGTGCAATCGGTGCAATTGATGCAATTGATGCAGTTGATGCAATTGATGCAATAATGCAATAAGGCAATAATGCAATGATGTAATGATGTTTGTTTGCAGGATGACGCCAATCGGAATAACATCGGTGATAGCTGGTAAAATACTCGGGGTAAATGATCTGGCACTAGTCATGTCCCAGCTGGCTTGGTTCATTGTCACAGTGGTTGTCGGTGTATTCTTTTATCAGCTCGTCGTAATGCAACTTATTTACCTCGCGATCGTCAGGAAGAATCCATTTAAATTCTACGCTGGTCTGGCACAGGGAACTCTCACCGCCTTCGCCATGGCATCAACGTGAGTCAACGACCTTCGAATTCGGGTTCCCTTTACCCACAATTCGATACAACATCCATCTCGCCTGCCTCACAGGGCCTCAGTCTTTTTTCATTATCATTTTTTTTTTCACGTGTTTACTTGTCTTTTCCGCTTCTTTAGTCTTTTATATTTTTCTTTTATGCTTTTCATCATTAGCGTACCTTTTTCCGCCTCACTGCCCTTTTTACCTTTTCTCCATTCCTTTGTTAGTTGTTGCGTTGAAAAATTCCCTTATTTCCGGCCCGATTTTTCCATTGTTGAGTGAAAGATCTAATAGAGGAGGAATTGATGATAGAGTATGTTTCAGCCAGCCAAGTGGAGGCTTTGCGAGGCCGTGGCGGTACCCTAAAATCCTCACCTTTTCAATCCCTTTGGGTCTTGCACAGCGTTATCATAGTTTGATATTTATTTTATTTTAATGGAAACACCTCGGCAATTGTCAACAAGTTTCACTGTTAATTCCATCCGCTATGTGTTATTCACTGCCCCACAGTAAACGATTGTTTTTGACTTCCTGTAGGTTTTGAATACATTTCTATGTGAATCCTTCGTTACTCACATCATGTGCTAGTCACATTGCACTCGAAAACTGTAAATGTACGACATAAAACGCTGTGAAAGGCTCAGTAATTCCTCAGCTCCATCTGAAAGGCCCAATCGAATTTTCCAGAATTAAGAAAAACAAAAAAAAAACCTAAATCATTGAAATAGTCAAAAAGAAAGAGCGATTGAGAGGTATGCAGCCCCAGGTGGCACTTAGGATGCCGATACTTCCGGTTCTGTAATCGCCTCTGATAGGTGAAATTATTGAGTTTAGATTAGTGATTGAAGTTGGGTTTTTGTTACTTCCTCGAACCGGAAGTCAGCTGACTCCGTGTCACTTGGACTGGATTAACGGGCGTGGAAGCTGATCCCGCTGATCTATTTTCATCTCTCCATTTGACTGATTTTTTCTCGCATTTGAAATCCAAGCATAATGAACTTTCTACTGACTTCTAATGAACTCACTGAAATAAACTACTAATGAGACATGTTGCGAGAGACCGAGGCAAAACAAGATGTAGATAGAGAGACAATGGTACCGCTTCCACGCTGCAGATGAAAAACAAAAAATGCTTGAAAAAAATTTATGAAAATTATTTTCAAAAGTTCAATTCTCCGGCTAGCGAGGTGTCATTAAAGAAACTGGAAAAATATTGTTGTTTACGTTGATCCGTAATTATGTAATTGCAGGGGGTGAACGATGTGATCGATGACTGGCGAGCGGCTAAGCAGCGTCACCCACTAATTTTTTCATTAATTCATTAACTTTTTAATTTAATTATTATTTTTAAAAACTATCGGCTAGGATAGCGTTAAGCAACGATGATTTTCCCAGTTTAATTAAAGAAATGTCAACGAGTTTTGTAGAAACTCATACCCTTGAAATTTTATTGGTTTCTTTAATTTGTCCCACTTTTCGATGAAATACTCAACTATGACGAAGAAAAATTCATGAATCTCTTTGATCAAGTGAATCCACAATTGTTATCCTATTTATTCTCTAGAACAAGGAATTGGAGAGTCCTTTTGAACCAAAGAGAAAATAATCTGTGGTCAAGTGAAGAAAAGAGACGATTTCCAACTATTTATCATAGTCAGTAAGAAATAAAATCTTGATTCCCTTCTTCCACAGATTTTCTCAACTTGCAAGATACTTCAAATCAACACCAAAAAGAAATAATAGAATTGTTACAGACTCTAACCGAAGATACTTTGTGTGTGGATTAAATTTTTACAGAGACACATCAGAATGAATAAACTGTGACTGAGTGAGTTACAGTACTACTATATGAATATCAATGATGATGTATTAGATCAAACGACATGCGGCCTATTTGCAGGTGGTTTTCTATTCATAGAAAACAGTTATGAATGAACGAGCAATAAACTCAGTATCGGGGGTATGTTGGTAAGTAACGATGGCCGCAGATAAAGGTACAATACAACGTTTGTTCCAGGATGTATCCAGTGAATTCACCTCGCAATGCACCTCGTCAATCAGAAAGAAAAAAAAAACCAACACTTTCTTTTCAGATAACACCTCTGACATTTATTTTTCAGTTTTTCCTATGACAATGGTCATTCTGGTCAATCGCAATCGTTTCCAACCGAGTTATCACTCAACTCATCAACTAATCAAATCGAAAGATTATTTCAATTATTTTACCACTTATATTTCTTCATTTTTAGCGTTATCATTATTTTCCAAGTGTTTTTTATGGTTTTTAAGAGTGTATGGAGTTGGACTGTAGGAGTATGAAGTATTGTATTATTGAATGAGAGAATGAGCGAGCCAGAATGACCTCCTAATTATCCCAAAAGGAAGCGGCTATCCCTGGAGACCATCAGGCTGATATCATCGTGGAAAATAAATTAATTAAAATGTGGAGATATTATTGTCTTGGGATTTCCTAACAAAGGTTTGCGCAGGGCGGCGGCACTTCCTGTTACTTTTCGACTGATGACGGAGAAGCTAAGTGTCGACCCGAGGGTCACCAGATTTGTACTACCCATTGGATGCAACATTAATATGGATGGGACAGCACTTTTTGTGTCGACTGCCAGTATTTTTATCGCACAGATGAATGGAATATTCCTCGGTTTCGGCGAAATCGTCACTGTCATGTAAGATCATTATTTTTTGTCCCATTATTCCACTCGTCCTGTGTCCATTGCTATTTTCATTTCTTACGGATTATTTATTTTTAGATTGACTTCGACTGCAGCTAGTGTATCATCAGCGTCCGTTCCCAGTGCAGCTCTGGTACTTCTTCTTGTCGTGTTAAGTGCAATCGACGCTCCGGTCCAAGATGTTTCTCTTTTATTCGCCATTGACTGGTTTGTGTGAGTATGATAATCCTCGGCTCTATCTCGTTACCATGCCAATTGGACGATTAATTGCGATAATGACGTTGTTACGGTGTGAAGGGATCGTGTGAGAACCACCAATAACATGTTGGGGGACTGCTATGCCGCGGCTGTTGTTGAACATCTATCGAAGAAAGAACTCATGGCTCTCGATGCTGCGGCCTATCAGGTGAGAGATTCAGGTCATGGATTTAATCATTCAGCGAATCCCTTGTCAATCCTAATTATCATTCAATTATGCAATTTTACAGTCGGAGACTGTTGTATTGCCAACAACAATAGTCAATGGCTGCATATCCGCGAATCGAGTACCCGATCCTGATACTGTTGTCGTGGAAATGCAGGACGAGACTCGAATATCCGGCATCGCCAAGTAAAAAAACTTGTCGGTAGGGCTAGGATCACGTTACTCAACATCATTGTGGGCACTGTATTCATCATCATCATCACATCGTCAAGCCATTATTTTTTTATCATTATATTGTATTATTTAGATTAATCTGTCGTCGAGGGCAGATTTAATTCATTGGAATTATGCTTATTTGGTGTACACTTCACACAGACAGACAGACAGTTAAAGCAGAAGCGTTGAATTGAAATGTCTCATCAATCATTTTGTATTGACATTTTGATTTGCAGTTTGGCAACCTGTCAACCCTTGCCAAGCAACGTTTCTGAGGAGACTGTCTGACCAACGGTCGGATCACGTTTTAAAAACGTGATTAGCAATCATCATCTTGTAATATCCAAGCGATCTCACACATCTAATGATATATACTGGGTAATGTGAAAAGTATAACAAATACCATAGATCATTACTTTAAGGATCCACAATTTGTGCTCCGCGCCATTACAACTTGACAAATAATTATACATTCGAATGGGATTTACCTGCGCCCCGTCGAATTCTAGTCAGTTTCTAGGGTACAATTATTTTTTGCCATTTTTCATGGACTTTTCTTTTTCGAGAAATGATAAAAGCATATCGGTGCATAGTCAATAATTATTTAGGAATGTGGGAGAGTGATGAGTGTAATTGAATTGTTTTTTTTTTTCGGTGCAAATGAACGTGTGAATTTCATCGGATGTCTATTGTTTTTGTTATATTATCATATATTTTGTTGCTGTTATTATTTATCTCTTGCAGTTGGGTTGTTGCATGCTATTTTTTGGTGAATTGGGTGATAAATATTGACTAGGTATTTTGGTACAGTAGAATCACGTTATAGTCGCACATTTTCTCAATTTCTGTTTTCGCGTATCTTTCCGTTTCATCAGTTTCATACCTCCGGACTTTCGTCTGCCGAGGAAGTGAATTTCGCGGAAAACAAAGCTGAAAAATAAATTTCTCGTGTATTCGAATTTGCTATGAAAAAATTCAGTTTACGGTGGTAACGAGCGCATGGTGGGGGTAGATGCATATAATCGAATTCCTCGCGACTATAACGGGAGTCTACTGTATTCCGTTCAAATCACGGAAAATCAAAAAATTGAGAAATTCCAATATTTTTTCTCTCTCTTTTCAAATCTAGGATTCTTAAAAAAAACCTTGCAAAACTCGAATTATAAGTGTTCAGTTCGTTTCGATGATTGGAAGTTAGTAATTTTTTCAATCGATTCGACGATTATCATCGGACATATATTATGGTGCCTTATTTCGGTGCGCCAGTTTCTACAAAAGTTCGGCGCGATGAAAGTACGCGTTATTCTTCAGAATATCATTTCCCCATGTTGATATGGTGCTCGTAGCATTTAAGTGAGTGAGAAAACAAAGAGATCAAAAATCAGCTGATGATTTTGTTTCAATTAAATATTTAGAATGAGTAGGTCGGTAATTAATTATCAAAGTCTCATTTTCAATATGTAATTCACTAGGGTACACGTTGAATTGTTTTTTTTTTGTTGAATTAACGGTGAGAAAAATGGGACTGTGAGTGTTCCGAGGGCACAAGTATAATGAGAATGAGTCGTAAAATATCACGCTGATGGTAATTTAAATATCTGAGAATCGTAAGACTGCCTGTGAAAGAGGTAAAGAGTGAAATTCTAATTAATTCGGTCATCGCAGGGAATCAATATTTAAGATATTGCGGTGGATGGAAAATTTTCTCAATGTGGTTGTCAATGTGTAGGTAACATCGATATGTGTTAACCATAAGTCGTTCGAAGATAAAATAGATAGTGTAGTGTGTATGGTTTTTACCACTAAATGAAACAACAACAAAATGATAAAGTTATAGACAACACCTTTATATAAGGAATGAAAGTATTATACTACTCGTTCACGTGTCAAAGTTATTAATTTCATTTTATTTCGGCAAGTTGATTCATTGTTAACTTACCTGTCGATTCCATCTTAAAGTCTGTATGTAGAGTTATTACCTCTGGACAAAAAATAACTTACAAAACTTTAGTGGGAACTGATCAATGTGTTTATGTACTAAAGACTCAACAAGTTGTATAAATAATAAATGCAGGTTTATACACAATAATCACCGAAACAGTTAATTCACTTCCATTTTGTAACTTTTCCTCCAAATAATTTGTCATGGACGGGGAAAAAATAAATAAACAGCAGTCTTTTATTTTCACTAAAAAATTCGTTTACTAAGTGCAAGAGTTTCTACCCCTTTGATGGCAGTTTTGTTTATACAATAATCTAAAATTGTATCGTACAAAATAGTTTATCTCCGAAGGGTCGCTTGTATTGTCGTACCATCAGAATCAGTTCTTTCGTTGCAATTAAATGAATGAGTGGCATCTGAATGAACACTTTACAATTGAAGCTCTTCTCATTTCATCACCCGAGAGTATTAAAGAAAATATACAGTTTTATCGTCGAGTTGAATCGCAATGATGATATAATCATTGTCAGTCACGCGGAACAATCCGCGTATTGATGATCATGAAAATTAATAATGACGGGAAGAAAGAAACAATTCATAATTTATGTACAGTTTCTACTTAAACCTACATTGCCAGTCTCAAAACCGTCGATCAATCGGTCAATAAAATATTTACAGTTCTGCAATCGACCGCAATTATTTCCTCCAACATGAAAAAAATTGACGCATGTACACGTTATATTACAAACACTAATGAGTCATGAGCTGATGAATCTCGATGTATCTAGGAGTCAGTTGTACACAATATGTTCAATGATTCGAAGGAAATAGCGCTTGACATTGTTTTTTTTTCGAAATAAATAAAAAAAAAATTTCAGTTCTAAATATTCAACTCGTTATCTACAACTGGAATCCTATTACCCCCTTGTCTCGATGCCGCTGGAGGTACCAACGGACTGATACTGGGACTCCTAGTGGCCAGCGGTGATAACGATGGTGAAAAACTGGGACTCAACGCTGCTGAGGGAAAAGTCGAGGCATCATGACTGATCGGTGATCTCGGTAGCATACCCCGGGCAAGTGCAGGTGCTGCAATTGATCTAGGTGCAACTGATGTTAAGAGGGGTGGCGGTGGGGCCTTATGTACACTCTTTAATCTAGCACTACCCCCGGAATTGGTGGAATGAAAGCTCGCAGCGTCGTCCTTCAACCTCGCGATTTCCCCGAAGACATGAGCCAGGGGTTGATACTGTGGCCCCCAATCGAGTAAGTAATCCCAATTATAAGAGCCAGTGAGTTCCTCCTCACTATGTACTATCGAACTCAATGAGCCATTCATGGACGGACCCCCTGGTACACCAAGACCCGAGGCTGGGCCACCACTCTCACTCCCTATTTTTCCGTAAATCAGAGTGGCTATTTCTGCCTCGGTAACCGCTTCATCTTCGAACAAATGAAGACTGTCAAGAGGTAACGCTTCAGGTGGTCGTCTAGGGGTTCCACTAGGTGGATCAACAATTCCAAGTCTCGCAAGGTACTCCTGCGTATTGTGTACTGACAAATCACTGGCAGAATCAGTAGTTTGTCCCTCATTGATCATCCTAATCTCTTCATCCTCTCCATCATCCTCAGCAGAACCTCGACCAGACGACCCACTCTGATCACTTCCCGATATTTCAGATGTGGCATGTTGTTGTCCCTGACCAGAGGTACCATACGATGGTATCTCATCGTATTTGGGGGGTGCAAATTGACAACCTCCACCTCCACTTCCAGCACTATTCGATCCTCCGACATTGCTTCCACTTCCAACATTCGCTACGCTTCGTATTGGAATTGTGTCAAAAGCACTGGGATCCACATAACTATTGGAACTTGTTGCATTGCTCTCCCCATTTAATCCTGGCTTTGTATTATTTTTCATCTTTTTACTCCTGAAATGGAGGAATAGAAATATCGCACCGAAACTTGCTATCAATAAAACTAGAGCGATAAGCAGCCCCAGGGCCCAGTCCGCAAGTCCGGAAGACGTTGCCATTGCCATATTAGTCCCGAGATTACTCGGAGTCGCCAAAGAATTTACTCCGTTGTATACAATGTTGTCATCGTCATTATTATCAACGAATCTAACCTCTACGACAGTCATATTAGATAAAGAACCTTGCCTACCAGAACTTGCAGACACCACTAATCTTGAAGACTCTTCAATGGCGTCGAAATGAAGTTTTTTCTTCAGAATAAGAGTCCCTGTTGTTCGGTTGAGCTTGAAATAAGGATGCTGAGATGTTAACTGATATACAACTCTGCCATCTGGACCCTTGTCTCTATCCGTAGCGGTCACATGACCGATTATACTCCCAGCATGAGTTTGACTATTTCTCAGTGTGAATTTGTACATTCGCTCTGTGAATTGTGGATAGAATTCATCTCGTGAGTCTATTTCAATGCGAACTCGAACTTCCGCCGTTCTGCCACCGGTGTCTGTGGCTTTTAGGGTGAAAGCGTAACGATTTCTCTGTTCGTAATCAAATACTGAGCGAGTGGTGACTGAACCTGTAGTTGCCTCGACATTAAACAGTTTCCAGCTGTCGTCTATCTCAGAGAAGCCCGTGGCTGCTGCCGAGACAATTGAGTAGTTGACACTGCCGAAAATACCTCTGTCGAGATCGGAAGCCATTGCTGAAAATACTCGAGTGCCAATTGGTTCATTTTCACCAACAAATTCCAAATATTCCGGCACTGCGAATTTTGGAGAGTTATCGTTGACATCTTGGAGATTTATTTTGACTTTGGTCAGTGCACAAAGAGGATTGATATCGGTATCACAGGCAAGAACAATTAGATTGTACGTTTCTGGAGAGAGATCACAGTCGAGCGTTGAATTAACAAAGATGCTGCCTGTTGTACTATTCACTTTGAACAAACCAACATCATTTCCGGAAGTGATGGAGTACGTGATAATTGATGCAGGTGTGTTAGCTAAATCGTTATCGGTAGCCGAGACACTCAGGAGACTAGTACCCGGGGGCGAGTCTTCCGGGATAGAGACCGCATGAGTCCTCTCAACAAAAACTGGATAATTATCGTTGACATCAGTGATCTCAAGAGATATTACTGTTAAATCAGAAGTTGCTGGACTGCCAGACGTTGTGTTCGATGTTCTCGAGGCTAATTGGAGAATGTACTTGTCCTTAGTTTCTCGATCAAGGTTTTTAATGAGTGTGAGATCTCCTCTGGACACTTCAAAAGTTCCATCATCTCCGGAGACAATAACTCCATCGAGCAATCCTATATCCGTCATTTTGAGAATATCCGTTCCTCTTGTCGCATTCTCCGGAATATTGAGCTGGAATTCTTTGTTAGAGGAGGAACTCCTGAGTCCACTCAATCGAAGTATAACTGAGCAATTGGATGATAATGATGGTTTACCAGAGTCTTTGGCGACAATAGTCAGGTGAATTTCCTTCGGGAGTGGTCGACTCAACGCTGATTTGTTAGCTGTAACAGCTCCAGTGTCCGGATGCACAGAAAAGCCTTCAACAGGTCGAAGCAGATAATAATGGATCATCTTGTTGATTTCCAGGAAATCATCGTCTGTTGCATTGACCACAACGATTTCTTGGATATTGTCTGGTCCCTCTGCAAGTGTTGTGACGTAGGCGGCCTGCTGGAATCTCGGTGGGTTGTCGTTGACATCGGTGAGTCTGATAACGAGCTCGGTGGTCGCCTCGTGAATTCCATCACTGGCAATAACCTGGAGACTATATTCGTAATGCTCTTCAGCGTCCACAGCTTCTTTTAATATTACTTTTCCGCCGTAGCGGTCGATGGTGAAAGGAATGTGCTCGTTTATTTTTCCAAAACGATAGGTCAGCGCGGGTGAACTGTCAACATCGTTGGCAGTCATAGTTGTCAAAACTGCCCCAACCGATGTATCTAGAAAAGAAATAAATAACAGGACATTAAAAAATTTTGTTGAATTAGAATTTTAACAGTATTATTTTAGGAACAAGGTGGAATCTTCATGGATGGATTGCCTGCATTCTTCACTGTTCCTTTTTACTCTTTCAGACTGAGAGACACTTATGCTCGTACTTAAAATGCATTGGATACTGCCTATCAAGGCAATTCATCTACCCGAGTTGAGATTGACGACGCATGTACCTCAACTCTCTTTAGAAAATAAACGAAACAAAACTGACGAATGGATGGACGGGGAAAAAATATAATAAAGCATTAAAAATAACCAACAAATGTTAAAATGAAAAAAAATGAAAAGATAACTAATTTCCTTCTCGGTCTTATTTGCCATCTCTCACTTTCCTTTCCCTTTTTTTTTTGTCCCCCGTGTTCTCATTTCGAATGATCGCGTGTGTGGAATCGGCGCGAATTATCAGAGACGAAAAATCGAATGAAACAAGTTGAAGGAGTGGATGGATGGAGAAAAGAAATCACATTTGAATCGTAATTATTGATATGAGATACTTTAATGTGTTGATAGGAGAGTGGATTGGGGTGGCGTCGTGATGCAGTAATACCCTCTGCAGAGTGACCTAAGCAAGTGTGAAAAGAGAGTGCTCAACGTTCCGTCATAAATTCTCCGGTTGACCATTAAAGTCATGTAAATCGGTTTTCGACTGGTGCTGTTCATCTTTGAAGAGCCAACTCACTCCAGTCAGGAAGAGAGCGTTCAGAGAGCTACACGGCTCTTTAATTTCGAATAACTAAAAAGCCTCGTGTAATTGTTTTTCCGTGATTTTTCCTCTTTCCTCCGTCTCCCCACGCATGGAATATCCGAAATCATTTGAGGTACACGTGAAAAAGACGTCACCTTTAGAATTCATAGACTACTCCAAATACCCTTGAGATGTTAATTTCCCATTAATTTTTCGCCAGATGACTTCAGGCGAATTGGTATCTACCAATTTAATCCTTTTACGGAAATGCACCGCGGTGTGCACGCGATTAAAATCCTCCATACCGCAAAGTCTGAATATAAACTCCTCTTCTTCTTCTTCTTCTTCTTCTCATCCACATTTGGAAAGTGAGTTCTGCGATGGAAACGAGTTCAAGAAACCATTAAAACGCAGGCGGGGCTAAAGGATATCCTCCCCATCGGTAATTCTCTCGGGGTAATTAAAATCTTCGATTCCATTGAAATAATTAAAATCAATTATCGGTCAGGCGGTTGGCGTTCATGCGGGTCAAATATGTGCGTCGATTCAGCACATATTCATTAAGTAGACCATAATAAACTACTCGTAGATCTCATACTTGTAAAAATAAAAATTTTCACTCCGTGCTTTGATCTAGATTTTTTTAGCGAGCAATTGGCCTCTGGCCATCACTGATGTGCAAGTCAAATGAGAAATTACCGTGAATTCAGCGTTACAGCTTTTGTTGCATCTCTAATTGAGAGGCAACATTATACTGTCGGATTTTGAGTTGAAAAAGATTGGGAAAAGAATTGGGGAAGCTATCATAGATCAGAAGCGTCTATCCGCCCACGTTCGTGAGAGAAGAGGTCTTAACGAAACAAGTCGGGGAGAAATGAACGCCGGAACAAAAAGTAAAAGACAAAGTCAGGGAAGTTGTGCTGCAAGTATAAAGTTAAGTGGTAAAGAATTTATGCCGACATTAAAGTCCAACTGTTCCAAACAATCTGCATAACTTAGGGAGAGATAGGAGGCTGCGAGTGGGCTCCACCTCGTCTCCTCGCCATATTGTTCCTCAATCCCTCCGGTTTTCTTTCACCAGCCGAAGCATTGACAGGATACCATTCAATGAAGGCTCCCTCCTTTCTTACACTTGTTCGCTGACACGTAATCAAATTCCCCTTGTTCCACCGGCAATTAAATGATACTAATCACTCACATGTCAGTAATTAGTGCTATTAGTGAGATTGGTTGGCAGAGGGAAAAAGTTTAATAAACTAAAACTATTGGGTGCATGGTTTCTGGAATGGAAATAATATTTTATCTTATACGAAGATTCGAATATTCGATATAGTATCAGGGAACATAACAATCGAAGAGGTATTCACAGATATCAGAAAATTCGAAATTTTTTAAAAAGTATCAGGAGAACATGACAATTGAAGAGGTATTCACTGAAATCAGACAATTCGAATTTTTTGAAAAAGTATCAGGAGAACATGAAAATCGAGGAGGTATTCGCTGAAATCAGAAAATTGGAAATTTTTGAAAAAGTATCAGGGGAGCATGACAATTGAGGAGATATTCACCGAAATTGAAAAATTCGAAATTTTTGAAAAAGTATCAGGAGAACAGGAAAATCGAGTAGGTATTCACTGAAATCTGAAAATTCAAAATTTTTGAAAAAGTATCAGGAGAACAGGAAAATCGAGTAGGTATTCACTGAAATCTGAAAATTCTAAATTTTTGAAAAAGTATCAGGAGAACATGACAATCGAGGAGGTATTCACTGAAATCACAAAATTTGAAATTTTTGAAAAAGTATCAGGGGAGCGTGACAATCGAGGAGGTATT